TTCACCTTGCCTCTGCCAACCTTTGTATTGAAATCTCCCATCACTATTGTTACTTTATGTTTTTTTGTCATTTTGATCAGGCTTCCCAGTTGTTCGTAAAATTCTTCGCTGGTTACCTCATCTTTATCTGCCGTTGGCACGTATACCTGTAATATGTTAAATATCCACCGGTGTTTCTCGAATTTGTAAAAGCATTATTCTATCTGAATGGAGAGTGAAAGATTTTACTGTCGAATTAATATGTGGGCAACTATTATTGCGGTGCTTTTTCTGTGATGTGTTGTGTTGTTTCCAGCATAGTAAACTTTATATCCTAGTATATCGCATTGTCCAGAATTTTGCCAGTGTGTTTCACAAATTCCCAATATATCAATTTTTAATCTTTTCATCTCTTTTACAATGTTATGGGTTTGCCGCTCTCGTATATACTTTGTACATTTTAAGTTTCCAATCCTTAGGTGTTGAGGACTTGCTTCCTTTTTAGGCCGTAGGATTTCGCTGGCTGACGACCTGGCAGGCCCTACTATTTGGTTGTGTACATTCTCCCGCCGGTCTTGGGATCCGATCACCATGATCAGTAATGTTTTTGATATCGTAGAGTATTGCCATGATAACTATTTATTTAAGATAACAATATGTTAGTACTTAGAAAATGGACGCTGTCCCATGTCTTGTTCTGTCTTAATTTCTTCTGAACTTTTTCGATATTCTTCTTATATCCTCAACGTAATCTCGTATTTTTTCTTGATCTTCGTCTCCAATATTTTTGCTAGAATCTCTATAATTTCTTCTTCTTCGGGTTCCTTCTCCTAGCGGAGGTTGGAAATCATCATCGCTATTTTAACTTTGTTGGCCGCATTTCTGAATAATTCTAATTGAGCTGCAGCCGAACCACCTCTCTCAAATTTCTTAGCCAGGACATTTTTGCGTCGTCCTGGGTTTCTCTTCCCCTTGTATCTTCCCTTGCATAATCAACCTCATATACGTACTTCCACCTCTCATAAATGTCCCAATATTGAATCTTCTAATTCTCTATAATTTACGTTTTAGCAATTTGTTCTGTTATACGATTTTCTTCTTGTTTAAATATTTTTCTCTGTATCGTTTCGTTTTTTTTTTTTTGTTTATATTTGTTGTATCACTCAGTGATACAGTGTTACAGTGATTAAAAAAGATACATTATTAAAAAATAGTTCAATCCAATATTAACTAATAAAAAAACTGACTGAGAGAGCTTCAAAATAAACCTTGAACACAAAACTAATTTTTATGTGCCATTGAGAAACACGAGGCAACTTGATGACGAATTAGAAGTTTTTATAAAAAATCTCCAACCGGTAGTTTGGGAAAATACTCCCACAATAACTTCTAGATCAAAAGGAACAACTATCCAAAAGAAATCAAAGAACTCATAGTAGAAAAAAGGAACTTAAAAAAAATGGCAGCAATACAGAGCTCTAATACTAATCTAACTAATGCTACACAAAAACTAAAAAGGGAGATAGAGAATATAAAAAATTCAACAATTAATTATTTTTTAAGTAATTTAACAACTGATCAGAACACAATTATTCGTTATGGAAGGCAACAAAAAGAATGAAGAGGCCAATTATTCATTCTCCTCCTATTAAATTGGAAAACGGCAACTGGGCTAGAAGTAATGAACAGAAAGCAGTACGATTTGCAGATCATTTAGAAAGCACTTCAAACCCAACGACAATGATGGTGAAGAACTGAGGTGGGAAGAACCATTCCAAACTGAAGAAAGAATAACGGTGACATCATTTAGAGATGTATCAACAGAGATAAAAGAGAATATAAATCCTAAGAAAGCTCCAGGATATGATCTCATAACAGGAGAACTATTAGAAAATCTACCAAGAAAATCCATAGTTAAGCTGACACACCTAATAAATGCTGCTTTTCGATTGAGATATGTTCCCAGACTCTAGAAAGTAGCCGAAGTTATTATGATCACCAAACCAGGTACAATTCCTTAATTATTTATTTATTTAGCGTATGGCTAGAATCTTATGTGTACCTTGGCACCAACGTAAATGCAAAATGGGAACAGACCATAGAAATTAAGGCGAGAATAGAACGAGCTAGAGCAGCATTTAGCAATATGAAAAAGCTCCTCATAAGCAAGGATTTGTCTCTTCCCCTAAAACTACGTATAGTTAAATGCTACATTTTTCCGATCTTGCTGTATGGCGTGGAGGCCTGGACGCTGACGGATACGCTAACGAGAAAACTAGAAGCATTCGAAAATGTGGGTGTACCGACGCATTCTTCGTATATCCTGGACCGAACATGTCACCAACATAGAGGTACTCCAAAGAATTGGAAAGGAGAAAGAAATCGTGAATACAATTAAACAAAGAAAGCTTGAATATCTAGGCAACATATTGAGACACGATAAGTACCGTCTGCTACAATTGATTGTCCAGGGAAAAATAGACAGTAAGCGAGGGCCAGGCAGGAGAAGACACTCGTGGCTCCAAAATCTGCGGAAGTGGTTCGGGCTCACATCGGTCGAACTATTCAGAAGCGCCGCAAACAAGATCAAAATTGCCATGTTAATAGCCAACGTTCGCAACGGACAGGGCACTTGAAGAAGAAGAAGATGGCTACATCACATGTTCATATATATACATATAATAAAAATTATATAAATTACAAACAACAGTAAATACAAAAATATTATTCTACAAACAAACATGTAGATTATAAATATATTCGATTGACTCTTTTGTAGCAGCCAGGAAATCTGAAGGGTTGCCGTTATAGGATATAATCGGACATTCCTCTACCATGTGTTTTACTGTTTGCCTTTCGGCGCCGCAGTCGCAATTTGGTGATTGTATTTTTTCCCATCTAAAAAGTGAGTCGGAACATCTGCCACAGTTCATCCTTATTCTATTGAGTACTGGTCCAAATTCGTCTCGATTGGTTGAAGCCCTCAGGTTTGCTTGTAATACATGGCATGTTCCAGTTAGCTGGTGCAGCGTTATTCTCCCATTGTTCTCTCCACCGTTCAGTTACATTAAAGTTTTGATCTACTAGCCTTTTTACTGTTTTTAGAGGCGAATGTCTTGAACGGAGCCTATTTATGTCTCTGGCGGAAGTTCCGACATGGGAGCGGAGCTCAGGATCAGTATGGATTTTAGTAAATTCTCTGACAAGGGCATGTTCCCGGCGGATGGGTGGTGGAGCTATATGACTCAAAGCTGGTAACCAGTAAGTGGGCGTGGTCTTGATTGTGCCCGATATAGTTCGCATGGCTTGGTTGAGTTGGACATCAACACGGTGAGTATGTGGACTGTTTATCCATACTGCTGCACAGTATTCCGCTACGGGGTATACCAGTCCTAATGCTGCCGATCTAAGTCTGGGTGCTGAGGAGCCCCATGTAGTGCCGCAGAGCTTTTGCAGGATGTTGTTACGAGTTCGGAGTTTAAAGCAGTCTAATAAGATGCTCTTTAAATTCAGCGTTCTGTCAAGTGTAACACCTAAGTATTTTGGGTGTTTATTATATTTAAGGAGTCTATCCCCAAAATTGATTTGAGGTTGATAGTTGGCCATCTTGTTGTACAAATGGAAGCAGGACACTTCTGTCTTAGTTGGATTGGGTTGCAATCTCCATTTGCGGAAATAATTCCCTAGGGCATTTAAATCTTTTGTTAGAATGCGTTCAGTGACCTCGAATTCTTTATGACTTGCGGCAAGCGTCCAGTCGTCTGCGTATCCAAACTTTTTTGATGTGGTTTCTGGCATGTCTGCTATGTAGAGGCTGAAAAGCATGGGAGCTAGCACGGATCCTTGTGGAAGTCCATTATTCAGTTTTCTTTGGGTACTAGTCTTGTCTCCCAATATAACTTTAAAGCATCTGTTGGATAGCATGGCATTAATAACCTCAGTGGTCTTTCTGCATGGGATTATTCGCATTAATTTATATAATGCCCCTTGTCGCCACACAGTGTCATAAGCAGCAGATAGATCGATGAAGACAGCGGTTGTTTTTAATTGCTTTTGAATAGGTGGATTCCACATAATTGGTCAGGGCGAGTACCTGGTCTGTGCAGCTGCGGTTTGGCCGAAATCCTGTCTGTTCCACTGGTGTTTGGAATATGGTTTTGCTGATTCTATTATACAACAGTTTTTCGAACAATTTGTACACCATACTGTAAGAGTGCGATGGGGCGGTAGTTTTTCGGTGAATTATTACTTTTCCCTTGTTTTAAAATGGCGACGATTTTTGCATTTTTGAGTTTGGTGGGGACGTTTCCGTTTGAAGGATGTCAGAAAAGAATTCTGTGAGCCATTGCTTAGTGAATCTGCCGCTATGTTTGAGGAACTCAGCGTGAATGGGTTAATTAATTAACTCAGTTAATTCCTTAATGGAATATTAGTATTCTGTTAATTATTTATTATTTTAACAACAATTAATAAGCATTATTCATAATTTAATGCGAAAAAAATTAATTTGACGATTATTCTTTTTAATTTCTTATCTATTATAATTTTTTCAAATTTACTCTAATTTTGTAGTCCTGACACAATGATTACCCCCTCCAGGGTTGAGAACACTGTGTTAAATATAAATACAAATTTATTTTAATAAAAATATATACATATTAGCTTCACTTATAAAGGCATCTGATTTAAGTATTCAATAATATTCATTAATTTTCACATTTTAGAAAGCTATTTACTTATCAGTAAGCGTTTGTATATTGTAATTAGAAATTAACTAAATGTTTCTGGTTAGTTGTTTGTAATATTGTTTTATTTACTTAAGAAGGAAGATATTAGGTGAAAATTAGTATTTATTAGGTATATTAATATATTAAAAAGCAATGTTAATAGTTATCTAAAAGATATTTTGCCGATACCTCGTATATGGCGGAATAAAAATAAAAATCGCGCTAATATCAATCAACATTGTTGATTATATTAACCTTTGCCTTGGTTCGTTTTAAATCCACTGGAAAATCAGTAATCATTGTTATTTAGAAAGATAGGTATAGTCTTCTATTTGGAATACTGTTTAACAATCAAAGGTAAGGATTAGGCATAATTTTTACATTTAAATCAGTTTCAAACCATATAAAAAAACTAATTATATAATGATTACTAATATTAAAAAATCAAATTGTGTTGGAAAAATTGTTTATTAAAAATATTTATGTATCTTCATTCAATAATTTGAAATAGTATTTATTTTATTTTTAAGATATATATATTTACGTATATACGTATTTTCCCAAACCAAACAACTTACAATAACAAACACATTACTGATTTTAACAAAGACATGTTGACATTGAACAAAGTTATTGTTAATGAAAAATTATTGAATTTTTTCGATTTTAATATTTTACCTTTTATAATTTATTATGTTATTATTATACGATATTTTAACTCCTTGGAAAACTTTCTCGAACTTCGACCATTCATCATCCAGCTTGGTGTGTCCCCTGTTGAACATAGGCCTTTCTCATAGTAACCACTATCTTGCTGCCGACACTGCCGACAGAAATTAACAAGATGTGTGTGCATATTCTATCCCTAAGTGGGTGGTCATGGTGCCAATTGCCGAAAGGAATTGACGAAGAAATATACGGAATTCATGGAATAAATTGTTCGAAGAGAGATTTTGAATGGCGGACTAATATTCAACTATTTGTTTAAATCGGAATAAGGGGTATGATGTGATTTTTATTTATTGTGTAAGATAAAGTAAACCGGAATACAATAAATCGACTTAACGCGTTTGAAATGATGACATTTAGAAGATTGCTAAGGATTCCATGGGTAGATAGAGTTACGAATGCAGAAGTGTTAAGGAGAATAGGCATAGAGAAGGAAATGGAAAATACAATAAAAGAAAGGAAATTGCAATATCTTGGACATGTAATGAGAGGCGAAAGATTCAACATATTGAGACTAATAATTCAAGGAAAAATAGAGGGTAGGAGATTTATCTCAATATCCAACAAAACATTAATAGAAAATGACTTAAACAATGAGTTAAAGAAATCAATAAATGAAAACAACACAGAAATATGGAACACATTTAAAGATCTTACCTTGAAAGTAATAGAAAAATATTCAACAACGTTACACAGGAACAAAAAACAACAATGGATGACTAATGAAATCCTGGAATTAATGGAGCAGAGAAGGAAACTGAAAGCTAACAAGACAAAATATAAGGAAAAACAGAAACTAATTAAACAAAAAATAAAGGTGGCTAAAGAAAAATGGATGGAGGATAAATGCAAGGAAGTAGAAAAGTTGAATGAAAAACATGATACGTTTAATATGTTTAAAAAAGTTAGAGAAGTAGCTGGTCTTTATCATAAGGAAACTCCACATACTATAACCGATTCGTCGGGGAAAATGATAATAGACGAACATGAAATTCGAACAACCTGTTGTAATTATATAAGTGAACTGTATAATCATGATAGACCCGAAGAACTGGAGACTTTAGTTGAAGGTGAAGGACCAGAAATACTAAAAATCAGAAATACTGCATGCTATAAAGTTAGCAAAGAACAAGAAAGCCGTTGGCCCTGATAAAATACCGACAGAGATGTTAAAGCTTATAAATGAGGAGAACATTGGAATACTGGTCAAGCTTTTCAATGATGTTTATTCGACTGGTGATATCCCTGAAGATTGGTTAAAGTCCGAATTCATAACACTACCAAAAAACATCGTCCGAAAAACTGTAGCGATTATAGAATGATAAAACTTATGAGCCACACTTTGAAAATATTTCTATGCATCATTCACAGTAGAATCAGAGATAAATGTGAAGAAGACCAGGATGAAACACAATTTGGCTTCAGAAATGGACTGGGAACTCGGGACGCCCTCTTTGCACTAAATGTATTAATGCAGAAATGTCGAGATCAAAGGAAAGACGTCTTTGCTCTATTTATTGACTATAAAAAGGCCTTTGATCGAGTACAGCATCACAAATTAATTACAATATTAAAAGATAAAGGAGTTGATAGTCAAGACATACGATTCATAGAAAAGTTACTGGCGTCAAACAGCGACAGCTTGCATATACGGAAAATCAACAGAAATAAGTAAAATACAAAGAGGTGTCAGATAGGGTTGTATACTATCCCCACTGTTATTTAATTTATATTCAGATAGAATATTTAAAGAAGCGCTGCATAATTTGGAATGGGGCGTGAAAGTTAATGGAATTCTGATAAATACAATCAGATATGCAGACGATACAGTTATTTTTAAGTGATGACATGAATGGATTACAATGCCTTTTAAATGCCATTGATACAGTGGGAAGAGAGTTTGACCTAAACATAAACTGTTCAAAAACAAAACACATGGTGTTTAGCCGTTTAGCACATCAAGATGCACGATTATATGTTGATGGTCATATAATTCAAAGAGTGTCCAGTTTTAATTATCTAAAATGTAGAATCGAGATAGCCCGCACGACATTTTTAAAAATGAGGTCATTCTTCTGTAATGATAACTTGCAACTTCAACTTCGAAAGCGCATGGTTAAATGCTACATTTGGTCAGTCCTCTTATACGGTGTCGAAGCATGGACATTAAAAATATCCACCATTAATCGTCTGGAGGCCTTTGAAATTTGGCTGCACAAATGTGGCTGACAAATGTGGCAGTCCTTGAGAGAGCAAATGCTGCTCGCGAGCTGCTTGATAACATCAAATGTAGAAAGATGGCCTATTTTGGACACGTAGTAAGGGGAAACCGATATAATATTCTTCAACTTATTATGATGGGTAAAATCGAAGGACGCAGAGGAATTGGTAGAAAGCAGGCCTCTTGGTTGAAGAATATCAGGGAGTGGACAGGAATAAAGAAAGCTGAGCAACTCTTTAGAATAGCTCAAAACATAGACAGTTTCGCCATGTTAATCGCCAACGTCAAGGGGACTTGATAGGGCACGTTAAGAAGAAGGATATTTAAGAAAACGACGCGTTTCAAGGAGGGATCTGTTTTGATAACTTTGTTGTTTGGCCAGTATTTTGACGTTTGTATAGCCGATTTGATGTTTAGTTGAGATGACATGTTGTGCAAGAACACAAGAGGGTCTGGAAATCCTAATGTCTCTTTTATGAGAACTTATATGACCTTAATAAGAGCGGCTCATGAAATGGGTCAATGGAATTTTGGTCATCTTGCCTTGTTGTAATCTATGAAACAGACATACATATCTTGGTTCACATCCAAGAATCTCTGGATTAGTACGTTGAATGCAAAGAGAGCTTCACGGGTACCTACGGCTCTACGGAATCCAAATTGGATTTCTTCAACACCCATATTAAGTATTTGGTACATACGTTTATGGATTATCTTTAAAAACATTTTAAGTGTGTGAGATATCAGGCTCATGGTGCAGTGGTCGGTGCATTCTCTAGCATTTTTCTTTTTTGGGAAACAAATAAATATTGAGGTCAACCATTCATTAGGTATGTCACCCGACTGATAAATTTCATTAAAGAGCTTTAAGAGGACATCCATGTCCTCATTTTCTATTATTTTAAGGATATCAATAGGCATTTGATCTGGCCCCGGGCTTTTTCTGTTTCTGATGTTTTTAGTGCATACCATATTTCTTCCTTTGTAATTTCTATACCTGTTTCTCTTGTAGGTTTCCTCTTTCGTCGTCAAAGAGTTCTTTCATATATTCTTCCCATCATTTTAGCTTTTCGTCAGTCGTTATCATATTATTTCCATTTTTATCTAAAAGAGTTGTGTTGTGGTTTCTTTTTTGCAGTCCTGCCATTTATTTAACCATTTTATGTAGGTTGAATAGGTCTTATTTGTTCTGAAGATCTTCTATCTCTTTACATTTTTCCTCTTAGTAAGTTTGTTTTGCATCTCTTATCATTTTTCTGATTTCATTGTTAATGATTTTGTAATTGTGACAGTCTTTGTTCTTGGCTTGTCTTCTTTGGTCCATCCTGTCGAGTATTTCGTCGGTCATCCAGTTGTCTCTCTTTTTTATAGGTTCTTTTAATATCTCTTTGCATGGAACGAGGAGGCATTTTTTAATGTTTCCCATTGTTGGTTTATCTCGTAGGTGTTACTATCTAATTTATAAAAGTTTTCGTATATTTTCTGTTGGAGTTTGTTTTTTATATCAGCTTCTTTCAGTTTTCTTGGAGTTCTTTAAGGTTTTCAAATACATTTAAGCTTAAGCGTGACATTACTTAATAGTTATAGCTAATCTTCGTTAGTGGAGTTGCCATTAAAGAAGAAGAAGATTGCTGTAATGACATATTGTTTGAAAAATATGTAATGTAATATTGCATAGTTAATTCCAATGGATGCCAATTGTCACTAGATAATTCAATTAATTATTTTTAGGAGGATGTACTTAACCTGCTTCTTCTTTACATGTTTGTGTACGGTTTTTGCCGAAAGCTTACTTGTTCCACGAGATCCACCACCTCCATGGCAAGCAGCACTTATGGCTAGATATATTATCCACAATACAGGTAATTTCAAATGTGAAATAATTGTTGAGTTAGTTTTTTATGGTTTTGGTCAGTTATATATTATACACGAATACATTTTTATAGATAAGGAAATCGTAACTTTAAGATTCTTTGTTTTTGCTAATTATTATTTTACCGGAAACAGGATATATCCATTTTAATTTATTTTTTATTTGTCTATTAATTAGTACCATAAGTTGGTCTCCCTTAAGAAGCCTTTGCCTTCTTCGGAGCACGTTCGACAGGTGAAGTCCACTGTTTCGATTGTTCCTTGGTATCTGATGTATACCAGTAGATTCACGTTTCATCGACGGTCACGAAACGATGCAGAAACTGCTTTGGATTGTGCTTAAACAGCGTCAAATACTAGTCTGATATGTTCTCACGGTTATACTTGTTTTCCGGAGTGAGCAAACGGGGCACAATCACATCGACAGCTTTCCCATGAGCAAAATGTAATGCAGGATATAACCTATGCAGTTTTGAGATGCCTAAGTTATCTCGGGCATCTTCAATCTGCTTTCTGCCAATACGAAATTGTGGATTTCTTTCGCGTTGTCTTCCGTGGTAGCCCTTTTAGGCCCTTCACGCCCCAGTGCGAGACTTATCAAAAACCGACCTGCGACTACGTTGAAACTTCTTAAACCAACTTTTCACGGTCACCATCGAAGGAAATGAGTCACAGTGCACAGCATCCAAGCGCTCTTTGATTTCAGTGCGTGATTTCCCTTACCAACATAAATATTCTCCAGGAGCTAAGAAGAGACAAAGAAATTATTAACATCCTAAAAACAGACCTTACTTCTGTCACAAAATGCGTATTAATAAATCTTCTTCTTCTTCTTCGCGTGGCATATCAAAATTATCCAACGTTTGAATAAATGTTTTTTAACCAAGAAACTTGTTTTCTTTCCACACCTCTACAGCGCTCTACTTTGCCTTTAAGGATCAGTTGTAAAATTTTATATCGACTTCCCCTTACTATATGTCCCAGATAAGACATTTTTCGATGTTTAACAGTCTTTAGCAGTTCTCTGTCTTTGTTGACGCTCCTTAGTACTTCTTCATTAGTTTTTCTTGCTGTCCAAGGTATCTTCAGCATTCGTCTATGCACCCACATTTCCAATGCTTTAATTTATTCATGATCGATACTTTTAGCGTCCACACTTCTGCACTATACAAAAGTACAGACCAAACATAGCACTTAACCATTCTTTGCCTTAGTTCTAAACTGAGATGGTTATTGCAAAGAAATGACTTCATTTTCATAAAGCAGTTTTAGTCATTGCTATTCTACGTTTTATTTCTATGTCTGGAGCTAATTGGTCCGTTATCACAGTTCTCAAATATGTCATATTGTGAACTTTCTTAACTTGGACTCCGTTCAATTGAAGCTTTGCATCGGGATGTGGGTCACGACTAAACACTAAAAATTTGGTTTTGTTTGAGTTTATTTTAATGCCCATTTCCTCTCCTACCTCGTGAATACGATCAAGCAGAATTTGAAGACCTTCAATATTATCTGCTAGAATTACTGTATTGTCTGCATATCTAATCACATTAAGTAGTTTCCCGTTGATTTTTATTCCATATGGTTGTCTCTCAAGTGCCTTTTTAAATAACTCCGAGTAAACATTGAACAATGTTGGCGACAAAATGCAACCTTGTCTAACTCCTCGTTGTATGGGGATTTCCATAGCATTTCTAAAACCAAATTGTGTATCTTCAAGATCTTCTTCGCATTTGCGTCTAATTCTGTTGTGAAGTAATCTGAGTAAAATTTTAAGAGTGTGGCTCATTAGACTAATTAATCGATATTCTGAGCATTTTCTCGCATTGTGCTTTTTAGGTATTGCGATAAAGATGGATTTGAGCCAATCTGCAGGAATCACTCCGGTGTTATCATATATTGAATTAAAAAGTCTTACTACTACTTTTATGTTATCATTCTGTATTAGTTTCAGCAACACAGTTGGTGTATCATCTAGACCTCAAGCTTTTCTAATTTTAGCATTATTTATAGCATGTTCTACTTCGCATTTCATAATTTCTGGGTCGTCAGTACAGTTTTGGTAGAATTCGGCAATATTATTCCTGTGATCTTCAAACAACTCTGATAAATACGATCAATAAATACCGACTTCAAATTGATTCTACAAGGCAAGATTAAGGGCAAGAGAGGCCCTGAATGCAGTTTCCCTAATATCATCTGGAATCATTTCGACCTCACTTTTACTGCTGATTTTCATATCTTGAAATTGAAAAACGAAAAACTGAGCGAAAACACACGAATCTTAAATGACAAGCATTGTCATAATAAAATACAAAGTTGATGTTATTATTGTTCTGAAGCTATTTTCTTGTGACATTTTAAATTAATTACTATTTAACTAGAAATAAGCCACAATTAAAGATTTATATATAATATATATTAAAAAAAATTGTTTAATTTACTGTTTGTATTTTGAGAACGATTTCCGAAGTGGAAATTGAAACGTCAATAAACGTATTTTTAATTGTGGCTTATTCCCAGTTAAATAGTAATTAGTTGATGTTATTGTCAAAGCGTTACCCAAAATCGTCATAAGATTTCTTTACTGTCAGAATCTGAGCTATTCATATTACCAGTGTCTATTATGGTTGGTTAAATATTAATGTCTTTTTTTATTTCTACTTAAACTTTTATATTTAAAAGTGTTCCTAATTGTTTTAGGTTGGGTCTCGATAGCAACAATATCTACGCAGTCATCAATAAAAGGATATCCGTTTGTTAGCTTAAAATCCTTAAGTGATGGACCTGCTACAAATTCAACTGGTACACCTTACCTCTACATGACTGAAATGGATGTTACAGGCAAGGATATAGAGGTAAAATAATAAATAATTTATGTAACAATTTAGAACATTATCAAAGATATGTTTGAAATGCTGAAGGATCACTAAGACTCAGGTCATAGCATTATTCGGCTCATGCAATATTATAACAATATACCGTCGGCTGACAAGTAAAACTCAATAAGTGCAATTTTGAAAGAACAGAGATATTCAAGTTTTAAAGCATATTTTATTGTAAGAAATCCATTTTTGAGCCAATTTTATAACAGATTATAACAGAAAATACCTTCTGTTTTACCTTCTGTTATAAAATTGACTCCACTCCAACCAATGGATGTAGCTTTTTACTCATCGTTAAAATCAGCGTAACTATAACATTGAATGTGGCAATTATCTTCGAAGTAATCCTCATGAGCGCATGACGACATTTGAAATAGCTGAAATATTTAAAAATTCATATGGTCGGGTAGCCACACCAGTCAAAGCCATTAAAGGTTTTGAGAATACAGAAATATTTCCATATAATCCTGAAATTTTACCGATGAAGACTTTCCTCCAGGTGAATCATTCATACAAGAAAAAGATAAAAAGACACTAGACCAAGAGAAAAAAAGTGAATTGGATAAGGAGAAGAATAATAAGGAAGTTAAGGGGAATAAAGAAAGTTCGACAGATGACAAAAAAGTTTGAAGTATCTTTTGTTGACATAATTCCACTACCAGGATGCTCAAAAGATGTCTTAGTTGAAAATAAAAGATCCAATCACAAAAGCAACAGGTAGCAACATTCCGAAATAATGACATCAACACCAATGAAGTAACTTCTAGAAGAAAAACAGTGGAAGAAGAAAGAGCAAATGAGAAATAAAGCCAGCAAAGGAACCAAACGAAAAATAGGCATCGAAGAGTCCAGTCCTCCGCGAATAGTTCCAAAAAGAAATTGTATAAGAACACAAAGATCACAGAAGATATATCATCTAAAGATGAGGATGATGACGATGACCGTGATAAGAACGTTAACGAAGATATTTGCACAATTGGTGGCAAATTCGGTAAAAACAGAGAACTCTGGATCCAATGCAGCATTTGCGGCCAATGGGCACACAAAGACTGTACCAGTTTCGAAGGCAAAATTTACATTTGCGATTTCTGCATTTAATTATTTTTTAAGTGGCAGTAGCCACTTTTACCCCTTGGCAGCGGGTAAACATGGCCACCAGCAGAAGTCTGAAAAACGTTTTTTTTTTTTTGTTCTGTTTTGTAAAAAATTTTCGTAAATAGAGTTTGAAGTACTAAGGTTTGAAGTTTTATTTACGTTAACAGTATAACTTTTAAAGCTATGTAGCAGTACAAATAAACCAAAATGCTTGCCGGCCACCAATTCCCCCCTTTCCCCTACTTATGATTCCATTGTATACTTATATTTCTTATTGAAAATTTAAGACTTTGTAGATTATTTTTTGTACTAAATCAACTTAAGAAAGTAAGGTTGAGATTACAAAAAAATTAAATAATTTGTAACGATGAGTCCAAGCCATCACCGTTAAACCAGCGTGCGCGCGAACCAACCCATGTAGTAGGAGTGTATCGACAGTAGAAAGGGCAAAACTAATTACCAAGCTCCGCTATATAAACCGCAACATTTCCTCATAGAGCAGAATCGACAGGTGTTGACTGAAGGTTCTCTTCTTCCCTACCCCGGCTTGTGGACGTGTTGAGTTCACAAGTTGTTCCGTACCGCCGTTACCCGAAGAGCGTGTTGAGCTCTTCATTACCCGTACTCCGAAGCAGTCGTGTTGAGACTGTCGAGGAGTGTCCTATTAACCCGAATCACTTAAGGGACGTGTTGAGTTCCTTTCCTTTCTTTGTACCTATCGTCCGCTGTTATTAAATCGATACAACGTTCACGTAAAATTTCAAAAACACACTCGCTTGCCGATAAGACTAACTTCATACGACAAGGTCAAACTTAATTTGAATAAATAGGCCAGGTACTGAGAAGACTAAACTAAATTGTAAATATGTACATAAGATTTTTGTCAATTTAATTTAAGGAAGACAATAAAGTTTTATTTTTATTTTGAACTCTGTCTCTGACTGTCCAAAAGCTACCCGGATAGTGACTCCTACGAGAGGACATCAATAAATTGTAATTTAATTTGCAAGAAAAGACGAAGAAATAATATTTAATATTTTTTAGAGCGACAATCGAGTTACGATAATGGCTACACTTGCAGAAACGAACTATTGTGAAACTGATCATTTTGATCCACAAGACCCACGATGTGCCAAGGTACTTATTAGTGGAACTTTACAAAAGGTAAGTTGTGTTTGATCTTTAATAGGCCGTGACAGACATTCATCTTCACATTATATAAACAGCTTCTTTCTCGATATAAATCAATTATGTAGAAACTATATTTTAAACTTTAAATTTTTTTTATTTTATAACAAAATAGAAACAGAAATAAACCACACAAAGAAAAAAGGAATATGAATTTATTCACGTTATGTCTAACTGCTGATTACCATTTGGCTTTAGATATCTTTCGACCAATCAAAATTATGCTGTCTTTTTTTTGGTTTGGTCACACTCATCATCATCATCATTGGCTTTTACAACTCTTCGTGAGTTTTTGCCGCGTTTACTATTGCCTTCCATTGATTCCGATCCTGTGCTATTATTTCCCATGGCCTTACTTCCATCTTCTCCAGGTCTTCCCTGACTGCGTCTTTCCACCTTTTTCTAGGCCTTCCTGTCGATCTTTTACCATCTGGTCTTTCCCAAAACACATTGCTAATCAGTCTGTCGTCATCACTCCGTACCACATGGCCTGCCCATCTTAATCTATTGGCTTTTATGTATCTTACGATGTTTCCTTTCCCGAAGAGAGTCTCTATTTCATTGTTGTATCTGCTCCTCCATTCATTTGTCACGCTGTCCCTGCAAGGACCATATATAATTCGCAGGATTTTGCGTTCCCATACTAATAGCTTATTGATTTCTTTCTTTCTCAATGTCCATGTTTCACTTCCATATGTCACTGCTGGTCGTATTATGGTTTTGTACATTTGGATTTTGGCACGCCTTGAGAGAAGCTTTGACCTCATTAGATGTTGAATGGCAAAGAATGATTTATTCCCCGCCAGTATTCGTATTTCAACCTCCCGTTCTCCTGTGTTTTCACTGGTAATTGTTGCTCCTAGGTATTTGAATTCTTTGACCACCTCAAAATTATGATCGTTTATGGTAATGTTTTGTCTTATTCGCTGTCGTTCCTTTTTTGATACGACCATGTATTTAGTTTTTTCTTCGTTTATTTTCAGGCCTACGCTTAGTGTTGCTTCTTCAAAGTTCGATACTATATCCTTAACTTCCAGTGTTGTCTGTGCTACTGCATCTACATCATCTGCAAATGCGAGAATAATCTTTGCTCCTCTGGCAGTTATGTCTGGTTTGACTCTGGTATAGATTTTTCGCATTGCGTATTCCAATGCTAGGTTAAATAGTAATGGGGACAGCGGGTCTCCCTGTCTGAGCCCGGTGCTTATGCCGAAAGCCTTTGAAGTTTTGCCTCCTATTCTAATTTGTGCAAAGGAATTGTTGACACACATTCGCGCAATCATGGTCAGCTTCTTTGGTACGCCTAACTCCATCATTGCACTCCACAGTTTTAAGCGATCTATGGAATCATATGCTTGTTTGAAATCTATGAAGATCTGGTGTACTTCTTTATTATATTCCCAATACTTTTCTAGCATTTGTCTGATAGTAAATATTTGGTCGATTGTTGATCTTTCAGGCCAATCAAACCAGACCAAAGTTTGGTCACACTAGTTTGATCAAATATGTGAATATCTGATACAGACTATCTTCACCTCGTTAGGTCCTTCTATTCACCCTTATTTATGGCTCTATCTTTCAATATTCCTTTTATTTTTGTCTAATTATCCCCATTCCAATGTTGGTCTAGTTGTTCTTCTTTAGGCAATCTTTACATATTTAGATTATTGTCCTTGGTGTAAAATTTTTGTGTGTACTAACAGAGCGGCTCCTTTTTGGCTATGGTTTTTTTCGCAATACCACTGTAATTAATTTAAAATCATTCAACTTAATTTGACCTCTTCCTTTTTTCTTCGTCTCTTGTAGTGCAAAATCTTTTTGTCCACAAGCTCTTGTGTAATTCTCTGCTCTCTTGTGTTTATATATTTCACATTCTACGTACCGATTTGAATAATATTTCTTGCTTTCCATTTAATTGGATAATAAAAGTTAATTGTCCTCTTACGATACGTACGACAAAAAAGTCTTCATATTTATATATTATTTTTTATTTATTTGTTTATTAAGCTCAACGGGTCTTGAAGGCCTAGGGCTGAAAGATTTAATTTTTCCTTACATTTACTATTACATATTATATATAATGCTATATCCTATACTACTATAATATATACAATATTACATTTGCTTATATAAAACACTTAATACTACACTTAATATTCCTTATAGTCTTTCCATAGATTTCTTCACCACTTCCTTCCATTGTTTTCTGTCCAAAGCTTTTTCTTTCCAGTTTACAATATTACTTTTTTTAAGTCTTCATATACGCTGTCCTTCCATCTCCTTCTTGGTCTTCCTATTCTTCTTTTTTGTATTGGTTTACATAATAGAACCATTTTTGGCATTCTCGCCTTTCCCATTTTTTCGATGTGTCCTAAGTATCGGATTTTCTGTGCTTTGGTTGCCGCCGATATTTTTGGTTCATTATATAGTTCTTCAAGTTGCTTATTATTTGAAACAGACAGTCAAGATTAGATTTCACGTACAATGCATCTGTGTATCTGCTTATATGTATTTTGCCCTAATAGGGCTCATCAGAACAGCTATTCATAGGCGTTCTGAACGTGAAAATAACTCTTTTCTGTCTTAAGAAGCAACTCTAACATGGCTTCGTATAAACGCAAATAGCGACATCTGATAATAAATCCGTAAACTGTTTTCGAGCAGTCAACAGTAGAGAGAACACCACTGTCCCCAAACGACAGTCAACAGGGTAGAGAGAGCGTCCGTTTTCATCGATAGACAACAGGCAAGAGAGAGAGTACGTCTGCATAGCGAGACTCAGCAGACGAAAGAGAGCAACTTCTTGTTTGCTATGTTACAACTGTCTGTATTTCTAATGGACTGGGGTTAAAATGTGAGTATTTAGGGTTGAAGAATGGGAAATACTTGTAAAATTGTTGTAGAATGGTAGTTAGTAATACAGCGAAAAAATGACATGATTTTTCGCATTTGACAAAATTGAACACCCTCATTTCCCCTCTGTATTCTTTTTGCTCTTCTCTTAGTTCTCTTATTTCCATTGTGATAATATTTAGGCTCTCCAATATTTTTTCTAGTTGCCTATCATTCCCAGGCGACTTATGTATTTTTACTTCTGCTATCGTCTACGTCATCTTCCCATTCATCTTCTCTTTTTTTCTTGTCTTATCCTCCACACAATACTCGTTTTCAGCCATTTTGTACGTAGCGTTAACTGAGCCCGTGTTTATAAGCCTATCTGTTAGCTGATAACTTCACTTTTATTTTTCCGTTTCGTATTTTATAATATTAATGTACTATTATTACTTATATTATTCTTGCATTAGGTAGGGCACAGTTTATACCTTACCTTTTTCACTCATTCAGTATTCAATGTTCGCTACACCACGCAACAATCGGGTAAAATGCAGGCGAAAATTGAAACACTTTGTTTTCTATCTAATGCCTATATATTATTTTTTAGATTAATAAATCATCTCCGGAATATGAGTTCGGAAAAGAAGCTTTATTTGAAAAACATCCCTCTATGAGAAAATGGCCAACAGGTAAGACATTTATCAAATGTATTTTTCATTTGTTATATTATTTTAATTAGTGTCAATAAAGCTAAAATAAATTAATTCACCAGGAATTCACCAGCTAAACGGAGCAAATTTAGAGTTAACTGATCATTACAAGTTTTTCGGACTAACTGTCGATAATAAACTCACCTGACGTCGTCATATCTATAAAATAAAAGGCAACAACTTAAGCAGAATGAATCTGTTAAAAAAATTGTCCCACCATTAATAGGGTGCTGATGAAAGTGTACTACTCAACATATACCGAGCTTTAATATGATTCAGAATAGACTATGGTTCTATAGTTTATGCGTCCGCATACAATCATTTAGTACACTCGTTAAACTGTGTTTACAACACAGCTCTCCAAATATGCTTAGGCGCATTTCAATCCAGCCCCGCTGAAAATCTTTATTGTGAATCCCATGAACTCCCACTCTACCTATGGAGCAGCAACTACTGCTATTTTATGCCAGTAAAATTCCATCGATCCGACAAACCCAGTATTTATTCTTCTAACGACGTCGACACCAATATCTGGACTCATAAACTCACCCAAATGTATCGTTTCCATTATGGAACCCAGAGTACGTCCCCTTATGGTAAGGCGCTTTATGCCGATGCACCCCAAAATATAGATGAGTTGGCTGTTCTATCACTAGAGTTGATACAGTATTAGGACAATACCGAATATATAACGATAATAGCGTGTTTTCTGTAAAACTCTTCAGTATTTCAAAGGTCTTGTTTCCTTTTGACAATCATATATAAGTATAGCTCTGTGCACCGATTCCTTGTCCGTAATTCATTCGATAGAAAATATTTTTAATCAACATCACTTACAAAAAATACTAGAATTCATCCTTCTCCACACATCCCGAGGGACTTAAATACAAATAATATGGGTTCCTTCTCATATTAGCATCCAAGGAAATAAGATGGCTGATAGTGTTGCAAAAGAAGCATCTACCTCCAACTTACCCATCTACAACATACAGCTCGCAGAAGTTATAAAATCAAAATTAAAAAGAGATATTCAAGATAAGTGACCAAAACTTTGGATCACCAAAGATATTTATCCCTAATAAAACTCAACAGATATTTATCCCTAATATTCTTGAACAGAAGATAGAAGATAACAATATGAAGATTGAGGATAGGACATACACGTTTGACACATGGTTATCTTTATACGTATTTACGATTTATTTACGCAATTTATATTTATCAAGTCAGCTGGTCATTTGGAATTTGGACTCTCCGATCAGTCTATAAATCACTGCTAAGAAGTAACCTACGTTGCCGAAGATGGCGCATATAAAAAAAGTGGTAATTATGTTGAATCTATTGTTTAAATGCTGCAGGCAAAATATGACTGCGTCATTTTGCAAGATACATACCACTGTTCCATAAATGGAATTTCTTACATTTTTCAAAACACCCTTATCCTAAAGGACTTCACATTTTTAACTAAATCCGGGATAATAGATGCAACTAAGTACGATTAGATTAGACACGTGCATCTCAGGATACCCTAAACACAGAATAATCAACAATCAGAATGCCCACTGGATGTCCATGGCAAATTAAGTACGCGCATGCTCGTTCGCGCAGATCTTTCGCCATGTTTTAAAGGGAACCAGTGTTGTTTAATGAAAATTTATGTGGTGTGCATAGAAAAATTAACCCGGTTTAATTGACTTACGGCAATCATAGACATACTATACAATTATATTAACATTGTTAACTATAATAACATAAATATAATAAAATTAACCATAAATATAAACAATTACATAACCTCACAAATCATATGTCTGTGTTATGTTTCCTTCTAAAACATGGCGCGCGTGCTGAAAAACTTCAAAGGCGGCATCTGAGAGTGGGCATTCTGATTGTTTATTATTCTGTGCCCTAAATATGAAAACACCTGCTTACATTTTTGCACTATAAGTAAACAACGTTGCCATTTAAATGAATAATACTTGATCCTAAAAATAATGTACTCTATTTAGTAATTCTTAAGTTCTTGTCATTAATTACATTTTTATGTTACAGATCACCAATTTTATGTAGCGAAAGTTTCTCCGCAACAAATCGAAGTTTTGGATTATTTTGGAGGCCTAAAATTTGTCACAGTGGATGATTACTTCAGTGCCAATATAACTGATCTTATCAATTTAGATAGACCTTTCTCTAGAGTATCTGTAATTGAAATAGAAAATTTCTAAAACGTCATATTTTTAGTCTTTGTAAACTAATGTATTTGTAAACCTTGTAAACTATGCTTATAAATAAAACTATACATAGTATATTCATAGTTGCTATATTTTTATAACTTGATAATCCTATTATAGGTAACTGACTTGAAGTTAACTACGAAAGAAAAAAAATTGGAAAAATCAAAATAAAAAAAATACATTGTTTCCTAATACACTTCATCTAATTTACATACCGATGCACGTCATCGGTGTCATAGCCCGTGACGTCACATGATACCAACACGAAATATTTAGGCGGTAGGTGTGTTCTTTTTTAGAATCACTTTGCCGAGTACACTGACATTACAGCCACTAGACATATTTTATTATATCCACGTAGAAATAATATTTAAAAATTTCTATTAATGTAACTTAGAGAAATACACAATAATATGTTTCATTTAATTTGTATAAATGCATTATAAAGCGTTTTTATGAAGAACATTTGTTCGGAACACACTGTAACTGTATTCGAACGAAGGTGAAATTTTGGCATAAATTGGTAACACTTATTTGACAGTTGCGGTGTTGACAGTTTTTGTACTTTATTATTTTGAATTTTAAAGTGAATACCTCTTGTTTTATATTTTTACCTATTTGATAAAATCTGTTCTTTAGAACAAAATTAGTGTGTTTTATTTCAAAAATGTCACGTAAGAATTTAAATAGTCGTTGTAAAGAGATGGTAATACTTTTGCAATAATTATGTGATCTATTTGATTTAAAATGAGTCAGGATTTTTTTATACTTTGGCAACTATGTCAACTTCGATTTCTGACGTGATAATGACGTGCATCTTTATGTAAATTAGATGAAGTATAGACACCGATCCAAGTTAAATCAGATAATTACGAACGCATTTAACAATTCAACAATTAAAAAGTAGAAAATTTCTGTTTTCTATTTTATCCTATTTAACCTATTTTATCCTTTGAACATTTTGATACATATTATCTACTAATCTCCTTAGTGCAGCATGTTGGTATCTTAGATTGGTTCTTTTGGTATTGACTTACAGCTGGAAAAATTAACTTCGCTATTTGAAGCAATCAGAAGCTCATAGCAATAGTCTTCGCTATTTGTACACACTTGTAAATTATCAACCTACTGGTACGCCTCCTTCTCTTTAGATCTTTGAAGTGTTTCTTTACTAAGATTAAATATAAAACTTATTAACTTAAAGTAGCGGTGGATCCGGCATGGTTAAGCGGAGGGGCAATCTGCTAAATTTCAAGATAATTAACATTTCCAACCAAACATACACTAAAAAAAGGAACCTTTTATTGCCTTCATTGACTACAAGAAGACCTTTGATTCAGTGCTGCATGAATGGCTTATTAATATGGCTTATAGATATATTGAAAATATATAAAGTCGATGATAATCTAGTGACCTTCTTGAAGCATATAATGGTAGAGCGGAAGACTAAAATTCACCTTCAAATACCTTGATCCATACCTGTCACTCCCCATTGCCACCTAATATCCCTCACTTTTTTCAATGACGCTATAGCCCAAAGTGTGCCCTGAAGTCATCCTGAAGTATACCTTTCCTTGGCTGCTCTCATCCAGTTAACCTCCCTCAATATCACTTTAGGGTCGCATCGGTTCTCACTTCATCTAATCGCCTCTTCTTTGATCTTCCTACTGGCCGATGTCTAGCTATAGTTCCACTAAGCGTTCTACCAGGTGTTCTCTTATTATCCATTCTTATAAGATGACCTGCCCAGCGCAATCTTTATATTCTTGCATAATTTGCTATAAAATTTGCTTCTTTATAATATTGATATAACTAGTGGTTGGACCTTATTTTATATATACCATTGTGGCACATGTATGTGAACTGTTTTAAAACTTCAATATTTGTGTCATCTATTGTCAAACTTTACAAGTTTCATTATGAAAAATAGAAATAAAACTTCACAGATACTATCCACCATCAAAAGTTATTTCTTATCCAACAAATTAGTTTTGAATGAAGAGAAATCAAAGTATATGATTTTCATGTCAAATAATTTATTAAACCATAAGCCACTATAGAAGCAGCAATAGATAAAACAGACTGCATGAAGTTGCTGGGGGTACTTCTAGACAGTAATTGTAAATGGTCAAACCACATTTCTAATTTGAAATCCAGATTAAGTAGCGCATGTTATGCATTAAGAATTCTTTCACTTTTCTTTCATACATCAATATTAAAAACAGTATACTTTGCCCATTTTTACTCAATAGCCAAATATGGCATTGAAGTCTGGGGTTGTACCTCTGAATTAGAGCAGATATTCGTACCTCAGAAAAGAGCTATTAGGATAATGTATAAAATGAAATTTAGAGATTCTTGTAGAGGCATCTTTAGACAAAACAATATTCTGACAATTCCTGGTCTGTATATATTTTCGTGTATAATGTATTTGCATAGCAAAATTTATGAATTTAATAAATTTCAATTTAACCATGTTTATTCAACAAGATTCAGAGACAATCACTTTATGCTTCCACAACATCGTTCTGTTTTGTTGGAAGGTAGCACACATTATGCAGCCATAAGTTTCTTTAACAAATTACCAATAGATATACAAATGAATTTACATCAGCCAAACTTTCGGAGGTGTGTACAACAATACATTTGTGAGCTAGAGCCATATTCTAAAAATAATTTTTAAGTATGTTTTATCGTGTTTAATTAATTTATATAATTTTAAGATTTATGTCTGTATTTTTGACTTGTCTCATACATGTACTTTGTATAATGTCGCATGTGATCAATAAATTTGACTTGACTTGAATACAATAAATATAACTAATACAATTTAAGGAGATTAAATAAAATAAAAAAATCAAAAGTTTTGATTATTTGTTTATTTCTATATTAATACAAATATAAATAAATATAATACAGTAAGTCGGAAATAAAATGTAATAAATACATTAGTAGTTGAAATATTTATTAAGAACATATTTTTCTAAACAATAGCCTTAAAATTAAGCCCATTTACTAATGAAGCAATTGTCCCACCTGCAACTTTAAAGGCTGCACATCCTGTAAATGTGAGTATTACATATAAAGTTGTAATTGATCCCCAATATTCATAGTGACTATTTAATAATGTCAAGTAAGAGGCAACTAAATGTGAAATTATGACATATCCCAAATGTAAATAGTTCCTATTATCACATGCATGAAAGAATATTACACTCCAAAATGTATGCAGTAAAATAAAACATAAACCAATTAATGAACTAGTCACAAAGAATGTTTCCTTTCCAGCTTTTAATCCCATTGTTCCTGGTCCAACTGCATCAGCTAAAACATTAACTAAGGAAAAGGCACCACTCATAATTCCAAATCCTAAGCCGCTTACATAAGCTAATATGTGTTTATTTTCAATTAAAGTTGTACTATTGTCAGTAATTTTCTTTAAGCCATTTTCAGCTTTTCTCAATATTTTGTAAATTGCAAATCTAAAAGCTTCTTGGAACAAAACAGTGTAAAATATAGCAAATTCAAGATGCGTTTTTAATGGTATCGCAGACCAAATAATTGATGATAACAATAAAGACACCAACCAGAAAAATGCTGCAGCTATAAGAATTATTATTCTTATTGGATCATGGGCAATTGTAAAAATAAACATCGCAAAGGGTGGCCCGAAGGCCATAAACGTGCATCCAAAAAATTCGGCAACGGTCATTTTATTTTCATTAATTTTTGTTACTTCACAAATTACAAATACATTTTCTGTAAAATGTTGGTTAATTTTAACAAAAAATAAAGAAGTGATATCGATTCTAAAATGATGACAACCGAACGATTGATGAACGATTACTAAGACAAGTCGAATGACTCACTGAGTAATGACTCACTTTTACTAGAGATGGGAAAATACTCTATGTAATTTTTAAGCGCTAAAGAAACAAAATATACCAAATTCGCGTTGAGTGTTTGGTTTTATGTTCACATTTATGTTATGGACATGGCAAAACTACTTTAAATATACATTTCTGAGTAGTTTTGTTATCATTAATTTTGTTATTTTGATTGGATTTACACTAAACATATTTTTGTATATTAAAGCATGCCTCAGTTTTATAAACAAAACAAACGGCATTTTTCACTTATTAATTAAAAAAAGTTGTAAAATAAGGGTACTGTAGATTAGCGGGAAGTTTCATACTATGTTTTCTGTATTTTTAAAATTTAAATAATACTTTTAAAATAAAAGTATCTTAATAATAGAACGACGAACAACAGTATAGAAACTTCACTTTTAAATAATATAATTTTTAATAATTATATTTTTTCTGCTAAAGGTCCACTACTACATATGTAAATAGGCCTTCTTAAGACAGTTTTACATTATGCTATTTTCATGCTAGGCAAGAGCCATGCAAGACAGATCATGGAACTGCGCATGCCCACGGGCTATTTCCATGCAATTCCTGTGCTAGACGAAAAATTAGAACATGTTCTATTTTTCATGCAATTTTCTTGCAATTTATCGTTAAAATTCATGTTGCCAACATAAACAATTTATAATAGATTACAGAATAAAACATAACCTTATCTCTATCTTTAGCGTCCCTTAAGCCACATGTGTATTGTTGTGTTTTGATTTAAATTAAGTTTATTAAGTGGTGATAAATAGATATACTATGTCTTAAGTTAATGTAAAAACGACTGGGTGAGTCGTTGACTATGGATGATTGTTGCTACAACAGCAATATTCAACAATAACAATGTTTTCTTTTCTTTGGTTGACATCCTTCACCCTTTTAATAACCATAAATAGTGTATATTTAGTTATTATATTATTTATTTTAGTACTTAATTATATTTTTTATTTAAAATAAAATAACCTCAAATTGATAAATATTTTCTCTGTTGGCAACAATGAAAGTGGGATCTAAAATTGCACAGAAATATCTCTGATGTAAAAAGGTCAAGCTAGGCAAGAGATGTGCCATGCAAGACGGACTTGCATAGCATGAGACTTGCATAGCCTAGATGTAAAGCTCCCTTTATATTCGACAGCTTGGCAATCTTGCAACGTGTAATGCGTCTATATTCTTTGGCGTAATGTTCTGGCCTGGAAATTTAGTAGTCCAGTATACCCAATTTTACCTTGGGAAATGAAGTTAACAGGCGTCAAGTGTCGTGTCAGAAATGACATTTGATTGATTTCCTACAAACTGGTAGGAATTAGAGGAAGATATTTACTTGTAGATTGTAGTCATTTTTCCAATGAGTTTATTTGATTTAATGTATATTTAGTTAACAAAAAGTTCTGTTTAAAACATGGAACTATCAAGTATCCTTCCTGCACCAGTACAATCAATTTGGGACCGCGATGATGAGCGACGCAAAAAATCAGCATTTTTATCCTCTAAACAGTTAATAAGCACCCAAAATGTTGCGCCCCCGTATGGTCAAAGACGTGGTTGGGTTCCCAGAAGTGTAACAGATTTCGGAGATGGAGGTGCGTTTCCAGAAATTCATGTTGCCCAATATCCTCTGGATATGGGTAAAAAGAAAGATGCTTCTTCAAATGCTTTAGCTGTTCAGTTGGGATCTGATGGTAAAGTTAAATACGATGCCATAGCAAGACAAGGACACGGTAAAGATAAAATAGTGTATTCAAAATTATCTGACTTATTACCTGTAGAAGTAGTAGATGAAAATGATCCTAGTCTTGAAAAACCGGACCAAGAAGAAATTGATGATCTGACAGAAAGAACTAGGCAAGCACTGATGAAAATTACAAACTCTAAAATAGCAGCAGCTATGCCAGTTAGGGCCGCTGATAAATTAGCACCAGCTGAATTTATTAGATATACTCCATCACAACAAGGTGCTGCTTTTAATTCAGGAGCAAAACAAAGAGTTATCAGACTTGTAGATGCCCAAGTTGATCCAATGGAACCTCCCAGATTTAAAATTAATAAAAAAATTCCAAGGGGTCCCCCTTCACCTCCTGCACCTGTCTTACATAGTCCAACCAGGCGGGTAACAGTTAAAGAACAAAAAGAATGGAAAATACCTCCATGTATTTCCAACTGGAAAAACGCCAAAGGTAAGTAAACTATTTATTTAGTGCTCACAATGTGAAGCTCTTGTGATTTTTTATTTGATGGTTCTTTTGCCTCTGGAAAACCAGTCATAGTTATCTATCTTTTTTTGTATAGTTTTTGTTCTTGTTACTTACAGTAACTTATCAGTATGCTATAAACGTAGTGTCTATGTTGACATAAAAAGTAAGCAAAAATTTGTTTGAATGACATTTTAAAAGTACATTCAGAATACAATAAATAGAGGCAAAAACATTGTATGTCACTTACATTCAAGGTTAACCTGATGATTCAATTAAACTTATCAAAGATTATTACATTTTATAACATGTTATTAACAAATATATAAGCTTTGTTTTGTCTTCTAACACTTGGCTTTGTAACTGTTTGGAATGAACTTTGTTAATAGCATAATGCAATACGCAGCTATAACACAAAATGGAGCTGCCTGTATGAACTTAGAAATAAGAAAGACACCATATGGCAGCTTCTGCAGTGAAAGTATTAATGTATTCATTGCTAATAAATTGAATGATAATATTGATTTGAGTTTAGTTTGGACTGTATCTTGTATCAACTTGGGACATAGAATCACTAGCCCAATTTGTCCCAATAGTTTTGTAAACTTTAAATACAATTAGAATCAGACTATTAATAAAATTAAATAATTTTTTTAAATAATTTTCTTTTATAACTCTTTGGTTATGGTTTTTCATGTGATCTATTTTATCCTAATTTTTCCCAACAGCATAGTTTGATCACTAGCTATGTCAGCTCAGTTTATTGCATCTAAATTCAATATTTAGTGGATGAAAATGTGTTAATCAAGGTGTTGTCCATTGTAAATTTCTGATGTCTTGATCCACCTCAACAAACTCCTTTCTTTTGTTACACAAAACTGTATTAGGATGTGGCGATCTAAATTCATTTAGTTCAGTAAGAAATGAAATGTCTTCTTCAACCTGATTTGGACCAACACTTGCACTATTAACAGATCAACATTCCATGATCTCATTTATTTTATGTCCAACTTTATTGCACTTGTAGCATTTAAATTGGAAATTGCCCTGTCCTTGTCCCACTACTGGATATTGTCCATTTGACTGTCATTCATCATTCTATCCTCCTTCTCTACTAGGTCCAGATTTCCAGGACTGTGTGTGACCTGTTAAGAATTCTGTTGACGTCCATAGTGATATCAATTCTTATTAGCAAAGAAAACTGCTGTGGATTCTTCATTATTTTTTGTGAAACAGTGTCGGGTTCTTCAATTTTTACACTGTCACTATCATTATCCAACAATATTTGATTTTTTTCCTTTCTCAATTAACTTATAAGCCATGGTGAATAAGCTTCTGTTTAAGCTTAACATATGTGGCCTTAGAACCACATTAAGAGTTTTTAAGGAAGGTGTGTAATATAACAGAGTGGTTATTATGCCTTATGCTTGTTAATAATGACAAAAAATAAGTTCGCCTCTATTGGATGTCAAATTGAACTAACAATTATTTATTTTGTATAATACTATTAAAAATACCCATTCACCCAATATCATGTGTAATAAATCTAAATAAAACTGTTGAAAATGTAATTTCTTAGGTTACACTGTGCCGCTGGACAAAAGGCTGGCAGCTGATGGTAGAGGCCTACAACAACTACATATTAATGAAAATTTTGCCAAACTGGCAGAAGCTTTGTATATAGCTGACAGAAAGGCTCGAGAAGCAGTTGAAACTAGAGCACAATTAGAAAAGAAACTAGCCCAAAAAGAAAAAGAAGCAAAGGAAGAACATCTACGTCAATTAGCCCAAAGGGCCAGAGATGAGAGAGCTGGAATTAAAACGGCTCCAGGTAACTGTTTTTTATTTAGTGAAGTTTATTGGTATCGCTAATGTTTATTAGTACCTACCTTACGAAAAAGTGAAATCCATAATCTTTAATATTCTGAGACATCACATTCTCAATTTTTTTTCTTGAAACTGTTCCATTTTTATTTTTTATATTTTTTTGTTCCTAACTTAAAAATCTGTTTATCTCACTATTCAATTTATCTATTTTCAATATTTAATTCGAAGTATTGAAATTTTAGGCCATTCCAAGGGAGGTGTGGACGAGGAAGAACATGAAAGGGACATGCTTCGTCAAGATCGTCATAAAGAGCGTGCTCGAGATCGTAATTTAGCACGTGCTGCTCCTGATAAGCGCAGTAAACTTCAGCGAGAACGTGAAAGAGACATTTCGGAACAAATCGCACTTGGTATGCCAGCTAAGGGCGCTACATCCAATGAAACTCAGTTTGATCAAAGATTATTTGGTCAGGCCCAGGGTCTTGGGCACGGCTATGGAGATGATGAAGCATATAATGTCTATGATAAACCTTGGAGAGATGGAGGTTCCATGGCAAATCACATTTACAGACCAAGTAAAAATATTGATAAAGATATGTATGGTGGAGAAGACATTGAAAAAGCTATTAGAACTAATAGGTATATTGTTGAAATTGTTACTTTATTGCACAATTTTCTATATCAGTTTTATTATATACATGCATGGACAAAATTGTCGAATATTTTTGTTATAACTCTTAATACAAAATGATTTTAGCCTATCGAAGTAAAAGGTCTAAAAACTATAAATTTTATCAATTCAAATCTGCTTTTTTTTATGCACCTTAATAAAGTAGCTTAAAATTAATAGTTTATTAACACAGTACTAGCAACACGATTTTTTCTTTGTTTTAGGTTTGTACCAGATAAAGAATTTGGGGGTACTGATCGTTCTGGAGCTGGTCGATCAGGACCTGTACAATTCGAAAAAGAAGAGGATCCGTTCGGATTGGATCAGTTCTTGTCGCAAGCTAAAAGAGCTAGTAAAAGAAAGGAACCTGAAAAAAGGGATGACAGGGATAAGAGGAAAAGAAGAGAATAGAAGTATTTTACATTTTCTTTGTGAAACCTTTATAAATTAAATATAGGTATAAATAATTCTAAAGTGGTTTAAAATAGTTATATTTTATATTATCATTCATTGTATGTAATAGGTAAACTAAACAATACATTTGTCAGGTAATTTTTGTGTATTATTACAATTAAATATCTACAACATACAATATTGGATATACATTTACAACCTACAAGTAATTCTGAATTTTCTTGACTGAAATGAGACTTGTTTGAAATATATCACAGATCACAACTACAACGGCTCTCGGGCTGAAACAGTGCGACCTTTGCAGAGCTGTTGTGCTTCCCTTTGTCACTTAAAACTCCTCATCCAGTCCTATTCTTTTAATCCACAGCCTTGAGAGGGGTTCCTTTATGTATCATTTTCATGATCTTTGAATATGCAGATCTTGTCAAGCTTTTTGTATCCTCATACGAATATCGTCTCTGTACCTCTGCTTTCAGTTATGACACTTCCAAGATTCTTCAGATATCACTTCCTTTTCTTCTAGACAAAACCAACAAGTATTCTCTTCCGTCAAGTGCATACCACTCGAATGTTTATTGGGCCACAGTGTTCAGTCAACAGCCCCTCTAATACCTGATAGTGGACAGTCTTTCGATTGTGGGACAATAAGTTAGCTATGAATTTGGCTGAATGTTCCTTAATGTACTCTTTAGTCTGTATTTGCCCTGGTGCATTTCTCCATCATTCTAAAGACTTTTTTTGTACCCATTTATTAATTGCTGCTGTTTTGTGTGTGTTACTAAAGCAAGGTTGCAAGTCAGTTAGTGGCACACAAACACTACTTATGTTTTTTTCCTATAAGTGTTCTCCCTCTATTCTTCTTATTTTCTGTTTGATAATGGGAATGACAAGATATTTGTATTATGCCATGGTGTACTTACTGTGCACCTTACGCTAAGGTGCACATTAAATTTATATGTGATGCAGCAGGGATAAAATACTATGTCGCTCACTGGTGGGTGTGCAGAGATTAAAAAAGAAGCTATGGAAAAGTACGTAGGTACCTGCAAAATATTCAGTAAAAGCAATGTTCTCACATTTCCGTCTAAATCGAGAGGGGCTTCAACCCATTGTTTACTCTTATGGATGCAACGCCAAAATAACCAAATGAAACTGATTAAAAACTTATAACGTCTTTAAAGTAAGTTCCAAGATTAATTAATTATAAAAATTGGACGGCGAACAAAAATTTAGTAGTTAACTCTAGTAATTTATTAATTAATTAATTTAGTAGTAAGATATCACAATAAAAATTCCATTTGTTATTGAAATTTCCAAGGATATTATTTGTATGCAGAAGGTACAAAATAGTTCTGATTATTCATCTTCCTGCGGTATCTTAGATCCTTAGCCAATGAAAGAGGACAGAGGACAGTAAAAGTCATCGAGCAAAAAAGACAATAGAGGGAATGTAATGGTAGTGGGGGCAAACATATTGTTAGACAGGAAGTGCGATCTTTAGAGGTCACATTAAACAAGGAAAGAGAGTCTCTTTCCTTGTTTGACATCAAATTTAGTTGGGTTATGTTATTGTTTGTCCCTAATGTCACATGAAATCTTATTTATATTGAAGTTTTTTAACAATTGTGTCGCATTTTAGACTCTTATCATTAATAATTAATTAAAACTTTCTCGTCTAAGACACATTCTGCGAAATATTATATAGCTTCTGTTGATAAGTGTCGGAAAATTTAAATTTGGCGCATTCGCATTTCCGGATATGTCCGCCATCAGAGGCCACTTTTTTGGTCTCCTTTTCATAAGGATTAGATTCCCTCTTTTGTCTTATTGCTCGATGGTAAAAGTACAAGCAACATCCACAAAACATTTAAATTGTGCGCCACGAAAGGTAGTCCTTAGAAATAGTCTTAAACAAGGAAAGACACTCTCTTTCCTTGTCTAAGGAAAGTGTAGAGTGATCCTTCCGTCAAGTCCGTGTCAGACGGTCAAATATTTGATCAAACTAGTTTGACCAAACCAAAAAATTGACAGCATATGACGTCACATCCTGAGTTTGATCAAATCCTCTAAAAATAGAGGATCTTCTATTTTCAAGGTCAGTTTGATCAAACTTTAATTTTGATTGGCCGAAAAATATCTAAAGTCAAATGACAATCAGCAGTTAGACATAACGTATTTAAATTAATTTTCTTTTTTTTTCTTTGGTTGACAGTGTGTGGTTTATTTGTCTTCCTATTTTGTTATAAAATAAAAATTTAAAATTAGCAGCCAGGAACAAGTTTCTACATAATTGATTTATACCGAGAAAAAATCTGTTTATCTAATGTCAAACATCTATATTGTTATACAAATCCTTTCACCCTATTTATTTTCTTTGTGTATAAGAAAAATTAGAATCGTAAATAAAGCCCAAGCCACTAATAAAATAAGCAAAAAAGACAATTAATTTTCTTGACATTCGTCAATTTGATCAAATTTGAATGATCGTGTGACAGGTAGATTTTTAAAATTTGAACAAACTGTAATTATGACGTCATTACGTCAGTTTGCTCAAACTAGTTTGATCAAATATTTGACCGTCTGACACGGACTTCACAGAATAAATAATCAGAATGCCCACACAGATGCCCGATTTGAAGTTTGTCAGCACGCGTGCGCCATATTTTAAAGGGAAACAAACTCAAATTGACAAGTTTGTGACCAGTTACGATAGAACTAAATTGAGTTTACCGAAAGTACAAGCTGAATATAGCGGTAAATGTCAAAAATATTTCGGCTTGGCAGTGTCACAGAATAATAAACAAACAGAATACCATCGAGCAATAAGACAACAGAATACCCACTCTCCACGGAAAATTAAGTACGGCGCATCTCCTCCGCGCAGGCATTCCGCCATTTTTAGGAGGATTTTAAAGAAATTAGTGTTGTTTATGTGGTGTGCATGGAAAAATTAACCAGGTTTATTTGACTTACGGCAATCATAGACATACTATACAATTATATTAACATTGTTAAATATAATAACATAAATATAATTAAACATAAATATAAACAATTACATAACCACACAAATCATATGTCTGTGTCCTCCTAAAACATGGCGCGCGTGCTGAAAAACTTCAAAGACGGCATCTGAGAGTGGCCCTTCTGATTGTTTATTATTCTGTGGCAGTGTTTGCATGTTTTTATAATGCATAATATATTGTATGCTGTAAATATAAAGAGATAAAGTTTTTAAAAAGTAAATTTTGATTATAATATTTTATGAATTCTGCAATTTTTAATTTATACGAAAACAGTAACGAGTAGATATTTGTCTCTTTCGAGATTAATTGCAAACATCTAATGTAATCTGGCAACTGCTGATTTGACGATTGCCAAATATATCCATTTATTTACTCATTGTTGTTTTATATAAATCAAAAATTGTAGAATGCACATAATATAAACAAAATGTAATTTTCTAAAGCTTTATATTATTATATTTGAAGCATACAGCATCTACATTAAGGGAGCTTTACATCTAGGCTATGCAAGTCTCATGCTATGCAAGTCCGTCTTGCATGGCACATCTCTTGCCTAGCTTGACCTTTTTACATCAGAGATATTTCTGTGCAATTTTAGATCCCACTTTCATTGTTGCCAACAGAGAAAATATTTATCAATTTGAGGTTATTTTATTTTAAATAAAAAATATAATTAAGTACTAAAATAAATAATAATATAAATAAATATACACTATTTATGGTTATTAAAAGGGTGAAGGATGTCAACCAAAGAAAAGAAAACATTGTTATTGTTGAATATTGCTGTTGTAGTAACAATCATCCATAGTCAACGACTCACCAGTCGTTTTTACATTAACTTTAGACATAGTATATATATTTATCATCACTTAATAAACTTAATTTAAATCAAAACACAACAATACACATGTGGGTTAAGGGACGCTAAAGATAGAGATAAGGTTATGTTTTATTCTGTAATCTATTATAAATTGTTATGTTGGCAACATGAATTTTAACGATAAATTGCAAGAAAATTGCATGAAAAATAGAACATGTTCTAATTTTTCGTCTAGCACAGGAATTGCATGGAAATAGCCCGTGGGCATGCGCAGTTCCATGATCTGTCTTGCATGGCTCTTGCCTAGCATGAAAATAGCATAATGTAAAACTGTCTTTATAAAAACATGCCAACACTGCTATACCAAAATTTTTTGTTCCATGTTTGACATTTGTGGCTATAATCAGCTTGTACTTTCGAAAAACTCAACAAACTGGGTTAATTTTTTTTGTTACGACGTCATCCATAGCACAATTGATTGTCAGATTGGTAGTAGTGAACATTGTACCATGTCACAGAATAATAAACAATCAGAATGCCCACTCTCCATGGAAAATTAAGTACGCGCATCTCCTTCGCGCAGACGTTCCGCCATGTTTTAGAGGGAACCAGTGTTGTTTATGTGGTGTGCATAGAAAAATTAACCCGGTTTAATTGACTTACGGCAATCATAGACATACTATACAATTCTGTTAACATTGTTAAATATAATAACATAAATATAATTGATTCCTGTGATTCCTTCGAAAACATGGCGCGCGTTCTGAAAAACTTCAAAGGCGGCACCTGAGAGTGGGCATTCTGATTGTTTATTATTCTGTGACCATGTAGTGAAGCTATTTTTTTGTATTTAATGACAGTTCAAATAATATGAGAAGAAGAACAGGAACTTTTATTTCTATAACCTCTAAACAAAACAAGGTGTATTAGTTTTGGTATTGTGAAGAGTGTGAAATAAAGTATTTAACAATGCAAGGATCTAGTGAAGGGCAGTTACAAATTAGATTAATTACCAAGCAGGAAATGTGAGTTGAATATATTTTATTTACTATTAGAGCAATTTCAAACATAAATTTTCAGATATGCAGTTCCAGACTTGCCCCTTTCCGTGCCTCAAGCAATAAACTCAAACTCATTAAATGAATTATTAAATCAACTACTTAAAGAAAGTAATCCTGATTTTTTGAAGCCAAAAGATTTTGACTTTTTGGCTATTGGAGAACTTTTAAGACAACCTTTAATTGATCATTTGCAAGAAAGGAATGTGTCGACGGAGACCACTGTTGAAGTTGAGTATTTGGAGCGAACTCCTGCTCCTGAACCTAAAGATTCATTGTTACATGATGATTGGGTTTGTGGAATTGAAACATCAGACAAATGGTAAGAATATTATGAGCCATATTTCGTAATGATACGAGATATTATATATTTATTTAAAGGTAGATAGTAGAATAGTATTTGTAAAAAATTAAAAATATTCTGTTCTATTAAAAATATAGATTTTCAGTGCAACATATATGAGGCATTGAGAACCAGTGCGGACCATCCTGTTGAAACATTAAATGGAGAAAACTGAGAACAAAAACTGGTATTTTAAAGAATTTTTTTGTGGCTTACATAAGTGTAAAATTTTTTAGTATGAAACACTAGCAATAGTAGAGGGTATTTTGTAACGGATTGTCCAAGAAAATGTGTTTCTTTGTAATTTACAAAAATAATGTGGGTTGATCTGCTTTGGTATTTAGGAAATTTTTCATGCATGTAGAATAGTCCTATTAAAAATATACATAACTATGGAATAGCTTTATTGTTAAATACCAAAGAATGCGTAAAAATACCAAAGTATATAATTTTAGTCCAAATCATCTCCTCGCAGTAAATTTTGTCCCGAACAGTATTTGAGATCTTTATAAAAGTCATGATAGATCAGTGAAATAAACTCTGTCAATTGCAACAGATCTTTTTTTTGGCTGGAGTTATAACATCTCCATCAGGATATAGAATTGGTAATTTTTCCTTCAAACAATCCTTTGGTATATTCCTTTTTTCAATATTTAATTTTTGAAGTTGATGAAGATCACTTATACCATATTTAAAATAAATAATACAAGGATAATCTTTTGTTAAACTAATGCTGTGAATTTTTAACCACTCTAATTTTGTTAGATCCATTGTGACTTTCCTATATGTAGTATTTTTTTGCAAATTTATTTGAAAGCATATTTATTGAAACTAGCGATTATACCTATAGAAAAAATCCTAACAGTATTAAAAGTTTACTTCACTAAAAAACAAGAAATAATACATACCTTCAATTTCATGTTGATAAGAATTATTCAGTTTAGATGTAGCATTTTACATGCTTTTTTAGTCTGTATTGTGTAAAAAACACTTATAATAACAGCAGATAGTACTATCATGTGTTAATAAGTCACTGACAAATTAAAGGTTAAACTGGTATTCCCAGAAACCAAAGTGGACCATGCCATATAGTTCAGTCCGGCTCACAAGTATTGTTATCTTAAACAAATTGGACCATCCTAATACATGCTGCCATATGTTGTTGAGTAGAGGAAATTCATATGGTTGACTCTGGGATTGAAGGAAAGTAAATGTTGGGTTTAAAACCAAACTTATCTAAAATTTCACAATTTTGTGGGATGCTCCGTTCTGGTTCTCAACGCCTCATAATATATTTGTTAATGTATATAAAGCATCTTTATAAAGTATTGTAAATTTTTTAGGATACTTACAGGATGCTATGACAATTCTGTAAATATATGGTCAACACATGGAAAAATAATTACCTCTTTAAAAGAACATAGAAATGTAGTGAAGGCAGTTGCCTGGGTAGACAAGACAGATCCTAGTAAAGGATTCATCAGTGTATCACATGATTTAACAGGACTGATGTGGTCTTTTGAACCTGGTAAGAACTTTTAATTTTTCTTTGGCCACTGGGGATGCTGTTGATTTCCACATATAGTATTTTTACACCACATTTTTATGTTGTATGTTGGCTATAAATCCGTACCTCGGAGGTAAAGGACACTATGTCCATTTTCTTACTTTTTAAGGAGAGCAGTTTTAACATTTTTTAAATTTGTAATCAGTAAATACTCAAATGTTTTTGATATTTAACTAAAATTAATATATTATATTAATTTTGGTTAAATATCAGAAACATTTGAGTATTTACTGATTACAAATTTAAAACACATATAAAATATATTATATTAATTTTGGTTAAATATCAGAAACATTCGAGTATTTACTGATTACAAATTTAAAACATTAAAACTGCTCTCCTTAAAAAGTAAGACAACGGACATAGTGTCCTTTACCTCCGAGATACGGAAGTGTAACCAGGTTTAATTCTGGTGAATGTTAGCTTTTTTACATATATTGCAATCCTACTCACTGGACAATGTTTTAACTTATTTTATTAAAATAACTTTTTGTTTTTTAATTAATAATTTTTTTAAGGTTTTTTTCATATTTTTTATACCTCCAGTCATATTTTAGATAATGAATAGGAATAAAGTTTTTATAAAGTTTGACTTTAGTACAATGACAATTATTACTTTCATTCAATAAACATTCATGTAGCTGCACTCAACAGATCTAGAGATAGTTATAATTATTAAGAGAAAGGTTACATCAAACTTGAAGTAAATTTCAAGCAATATTACTGGAGTTATAGGAGGTTTTCCTGAAACATTGCCCAGTTCTTCTTTATAGTATTGTTTAATCATTGAAAAAAAAATAAAAATCTTAAAATAAGTTTTAATGAATTTTTTCTCATATTTTTTAGCATTTTTCAAATTCTCATTGTCTTTAAAACATTTTTTTTTTCGTATAAAACCAGAACAAGTCTACTGATTGAAAATCCAATTATTCAATCACAAAACAATACTATAAAGATGAACTGTGCAAAGTTTCATCAAAATTGATCAATTCATTCTCAAGAAAAAATAAAGTTTCAAGACAAAGTTTTTAAACAAAAGTGCATATACAAATGCTGTAATCAATCTCTATAACTCCAGTAATATTGCTCGAATTTACTTCAAATTTGGTGTAAATACTCTTTAAGGACTATACTTTCGTATCAAATAAAAAATTAATCAATTTGATGAAAATACAAGACCTATGTAATCCCTTAAATGGATATGTATTTTGTTATAATAGTAATTTGGTACTGTATATGTTTCATAAATGAATGTTAGTTAACATGTTAGTCAAAAATATTTGTATAACTTTTAGGCACTGATAATGTAGTACCCCAAGCAGTGCTAAGGGGACATGAAAGAGGTATAGACAGTGTTGGAGTTAGTCCAAATTCGTTTAAAAATAGCGACAGGTGGATGGGATACAAACTTAAAATTATGGTCAACTTCCATTGAAGAAGAACGAAGTGAACCTTTACAAAAAAGGAGTAAATCTAGTAATAATTTAGTCACTAAAACTCCTCTAAGCACTTTGAAAGGTCACAAAGAAACAATTTCAGCAGTGAATTGGATTGATAATTATATAGTTTCCACTGTCTCTATGGATCATACTATTAAATTTTGGGATGCTGAAGTAAGTACAAGTTCAATAGTCAGATTTCATGTTTTTTAACCTGAACCTATTTTATTTTGAGCAAAAAATGTTCTTGATAAAAAGTTTTATTATTTTCCTAAACCCTAAAAGTTAATAACTTATTTTTCTTTGAACTATAGAGGTAATATCTCAAATTTTCGAGTTGTAAAATAAAACATTGCCATGTTTGAGATGCAGAGGTTCAATTTTATTATTCAAGTTATAGAGGGAAAATATATAAAATGGTTTTTGATGGACTCACTGATTATATTGACTAATAGAGGGTTGATATTACGAATAATGACGATTTTGGGGATTGAAGGGAAGGGAACAATACCTTTTTTTTTCTAGTTTTAGAGGTTTTTGACTTAACAAGGTTTGACTTCAAGAGGTTTTACAGCATTTGAATTTTATACCTGTATGAAACAGTCCCAATACCACAGCACTTCAACATAAAATATATTTTTTGTTGAATAATTAGCATAATTGCCAAAAGAATGACAATTTTAAAATTATTTTTATTTTTTACCGCATATTCACAAAACATTGACTATAAAATGAAGCATATATTGAAAAACTTGAATTTTAATTTTATGGACTTTTAGAGCAGGCAAAACTTTTTATCAATAATGACATTTTTTGTCATAATCATGTTAAAAAATATGTCATAAAATTTAATAAAAACCTATTTTAGTTGTGCGGAATCAAAAACGAAGTAGTTGGTCAGAAGGCATACCTCAGTTCGTCATGGTCACCATTGTCAAACACACTTCTGGCATCATCAGCAGACCGACACATTCGTTTGTACGACCCCCGATCGACAGAGGGGTCACTTTGTAAAACCACTTTTACCTCCCATACATTATGGGTTAGTTCAGTGATGTGGTCAAACTATGACCAGCATTTATTTTTATCTGGTGGATATGACTCTGCTGTAAAAATGTGGGACACGCGGAGTCCCAAGGCACCGCTTTACAATCTTCAAGGTCACCAGGGTCAGGTGTTAAAGGTGGATTGGTCCAATAGGAAGTATATGGTATCTGGTGGTAGTGATAATAGTGTACACATTTTTAAGAATAAACATGTTTAATAAAAGTTATACACACGCATTTTATTTAAACCTTACTTAATAATATTATATTCTTATTTAACGTTTATCTCCAACTGGAAAATGATGAACTCCTGAAAATAAGAAACAGTATTAATTAAAAGTTTATATGAAAAAGAAAAAAAAAAAACAAAAATGGTTATAAGTATTCAAAACAATTGTTTCTATTGAGAGCACCCTACAAGAAAGTGATCAATTGCATCCACTTGCATTATTTTGTGTATAACCTTTGCCGACGCTAAAAAATGACAGTGATATATTCTTCTATATGCGTCTATATTCTTTCGACTTTGGTTATTTCTTATAGAAAAACGCGAGGGTCCATTTTGTTTATTGTCTTAAATCAAGGTTATGTTAGAAACGTCATGTCAAATTAAAGTGGAAGTGGTTCTAAATATAATGACATAAAAAAAATCAAACATGGTGTCATGTCAAAATGACATAAGTTGTATCCTCGGCAATAATGGTGGGATCTTAATGTGTGAGGTATCAAATGAAATATGAAATGATTTATGCGCACACTCTAGTAATAAGACCTTGATGAGATACCAAATAAAAGCGACGGCTAAGTTCACTTAATTAATTATCAGAGAATGACAAATGAGACATGAAAGTGTACATCAAGACAGATAAAGATGTGACTAGAGAAAACTTTATGTCACTATAATGTTACAGAAAACAACGACATAAAGACATTATTTAAATACTCACATTCCTGAATTTATTGAAATAGAACAAGATGGAGTAGTAAGCAGGTTATTTTTAACATAACATTACATTTGTAACATTAGAGGTTTCCAGCTCTAACCTGGAAGGACCACATCAAATATATATCATTCTGGTAGAGAATTTGGTATATTAAGGAAATTGGTAAAATTAATTCAAGCCACCATGCTGGCTTCGACTCTGTTTAACATATCTATAACCATTTGGAATATGTTAGATGACTAATAATAATTGATTTATTTATATTTACAAACTTTATTGATGTTAAATGCACTATATTTCATTTTTAAATTCAAGTTTTTGTATGTTTTTAGTTTTTTCATTAATACATCAATAATGACTAATTGCTATTATGATAAGATAACTAATATTGACTAAAATGTGAAGCGATGAATCGTAAACATTAAGTGAGAGTTCCTTTTATACAATTAACATCGCCTTTTTCCAAAAAACACCGATCTCGTATTCATTTGGAAAGTGCCAAGACAACCAAAATATACTCACCCCGAGAAAGGTGTGGAAGTTGATGAAGACGCTTGTTGAGCCAAGCTTCCAAATCCAACTGTATTTTGGTTGGCTAAATTTCCAAAACCGGGACTGGCAGCGCCAGCATTTCCAAAGTTAGCTAAAATAAATAATAATTTTAATAATCCCATATTAAATGAATCAACAGTTATCAAAACTAAATTAAAGAAAATACTAGATAGTTTAATACTGAGAGGTGTGATTTCAACATGTATTTTTTTACTCACCTGGTGGTGTATTAGCTCCAAAAACTTTAGCGGGGCTTCCAAATGTTGGTGCACCTCCAAAAGCGGGAGCGGCTGTGAAACTGGGACTACTTCCAAATGCAGGTTGTGGCGATCCTCCAAACACCGGTGCTCCTCCAAAGCCTCCTTGTTGCTTTTGAAAGCCTCCTGGAGATCCAAAACCGGTCTGTCCTACACCTACACCACCTCCACTAAAAGGTCCAGCTTGTGGTGAACCGAATGATTGTTGACCAAAGCTGCTTTGTCCAAAATTGGACTGTTGGCCAAATCCTCCAGGAGAGCCGAATGTATTTGTTGCAAATATACTTTGAGAACTACTACCAAATGTACTAGAACTACCACTACCAAATATAGATCCAGTTGTAGAAGGAGTTTCTATGTTGGTAGAGCTAGCAAATGGGTTTGCATTTGGTTGATTAAAGGTTGGACCTGCTCCAAAAATACTACTACCGGATGTACTTCCAACATTCAGGTTTCCAAACCCTAATGAACCAGCATTATTAGCAGCTGAAGCGAAACTAAACGATGGCGCTGGTGAAGAACCGAAAACACTATTCGAAGTACTTGTAACACCAAACGAATTGCTTCCCGAACCAAAAACGCTGTTGTTGGAAGTTGCTGGGGTACCAAATATTGAACCAGAATTTGAACCAAACGTTGCTGGTTGAGAAAATGCAGCTGTGGTCGTTGCAGTTGCACCGAAGCCTGAGGAACCGAAAATAGAACCTGTTGTTTGACCAAATCCTGAAGCTGTAGTAACGGGTGCTCCAAAAATTGAAGAAGGGCTTGAGACCGGAGAAGCTGCTCCGAATATAGATCCTTGTGTGCTAGTAGGACTTGCTGCACCAAATGCGGAAGGTGTCGTACTACTAAATATCGAGCCAGTTGACTGAACACCGAAAACAGAAGATTGGGTAGTGACAGAGTTATTACCAAAAATTTGAGTTGGAGTTGTACTTCCAAATACAGATGATTGGGTATTGGGAGCATTTGTTGCACCAAATATAGGCGCTTGTGTAGTCGTGGAGGTACCAAATACAGATGTAGAAGTCGTGGAGGGAGTACCAAAAACTGATGGTTGAGTAGTGCTTGGAGTACCAAAAATAGAAGACTGTGTAGTTGTGGTAACACCAAAAATAGAAGATTGCGTTGTATTTTGAGCACCAAATGCTGCAGGTGCAGTAATTGAAGGTGAACCAAAAGCTGCCAAAGGATTAGTTGATGATGCACCAAAAGCAGATGATGAAGTAGTTGTTGGCATACCAAAAGTAGAAGTTGTAGTAGATGTTGTCGTACCAAATATAGTTCCTGGAGTAGTTGTTGGAGCACCAAATAAAGAAGGCTGTGTGGTGGTTGGCGTACTAAAAAGCGAGGGTTGAGTGGTAGCTGGTGAAGCAAAAATAGACGACTGAGTGGTCGTTGGCGTAGAAAAAAGAGATGATTGTGTAGAAGCTGGTGAAGCAAAAATTGAAGGTTGGGTGGTTGCTGCATTGCTAAAAAGAGATACTTGAGTAGGAGCTTCTGAGGTACTAATGGACGATTTGGTGGTAGTCGGAGTACTAAAGAGAGGAGACTGAGTACTAGCTGGTGAAAAAATTGATGAAGACTGAGTGGTTGATGGAGATGCAAAAATAGACGATTGTGTAGTTGTAGTTCCAAATACAGAAGCTTGTGTCGATTTTGGTGTTTCGACAGTAGAAGATTGAGTAGTTACTGGTGTAACAAAGAGAGAAGATGACTGAACAGTAGGTTTAGTAGCAAAAAACGAAGGCTGTGTAGTAGATCCAGTATTTCCAAATATAGACGATTCAGTGACTGTTGCGGTACTAGTAAATACAGAACCTTGTGTGGTTTCAGTTTTGTCAAAAATTGAATTTTTACTGCTTATTGGTACGCCACTTGAGCTTGAAGATATAGTCGAAAAAATTGATGCAGTTGTAGTAGTATTAAAAGTCGACTTTATTGAGGTTGCTGGAGGTATCGAGCTAAACAGGGATCCCACTTTGGTAGAAATTGCATTGCCGGGCGCAAATATAGAAGTACTGCTGACGACTGGAGTAAATCCTGATTTACTTGCGCTAATAGAAACGGAAGAACTGGACGGTGCTCCAGTCGTTTTTAATACACCTATGGATGTAGTACTGGTAGCAGTTGTACTACTAATAGCAGATTCGTCTGTCGTTGAATGTAAGCTACCACCATCTGCTGTTGATTTAACATCACCAAAGGAAGGCATTTTAGTTGAGGATGTAAGTGGCTTTGTGCCGAATAAGGGTGTTGAAACAGAAGGAGAACTAATTGAACCAAACAATGACGTAGTTGTTGTAGTTAAGGGCATTGAAGTAGTATTTAAAGAACCTAAATTCATTAAAGATGTGCTTGGCTTAGAAACGTTTGTTATAGAAGAAGTTTGAGGAAGTTGTACCGCAGTAGAAGTTGTTGATTGGAGTATAGTCAATGGAGCCGTATTAAAGAAATTGGGCTTAGGTGCCGCAGTATCAACTGTGCCAGGTGTTCCTAATAAGGACTTTGAAGAAGTTGATATTGCTATATTCTGCGAACTAGCAGTTGTAACAGCTAAACTAGCGGATTTTCCAAATGAAAAGAAACTCTGGGCTGCAGTATTTTGTGACGATAACTCTGAAGACACCTCTGCTACTTTTTTTTCCGAATTATTTAAATCAACATTTGGTTTAAAACTAAAAGGAACTTTTCCTTGACTGGAAATGGATATTTCAGGTTTCATACTTGTACTGGTACTATCAAAAGTATATTGGGACAAATTGGGGTATACAGATTGGGCTGGCGTTTGATTTGGAGACGATTCAACTGCTGCAGTTGAAGGTGCCGCTGAGGTAAAATTTTTAGTAGCTTGTGTGGTGGGAACAAAAGCTGAAGAGATTGGAGTTTGAGTTAAATTGCTTAAAAGATTTTTTGTCACTGGATAATAAGTGTTAACATTGGGCGGAAGTACATTTTTATCCAAGCTTTTAAACGTGAAAGTTTTAGAAGGTTCCGGTTGGGCTGGAGTATTTGGAGGAACCAATGTCGGTTTTATATCTTGCATAACTTTCAAAGGAGTCGATTCAGAAAATTTAAGATTTTTAACGACAGCTGGTTTCATTACAGGCGACATTTCAGCCCCTAGTATTGAAAAAGAATGACTCTTCCTAACAGCGGGTGAGTTTATTAAAGAGTTGTTAAGTTTAGGTCTAGCAGCTGTAACATGGGTAATATCTCTATGTTTGAGGAAATCTCGAAGTTTCTGCGTTTTTGTTGAAGTTAATTTTTTGTTTCTATCAAGTATTTGCTCACGTAGAATGCGGTAGTCATCATCTGAATCCAACCGAAGATACTTAAGATCCTCGATCTTTTTTAATCCAACGAAGAGGGAAGACGTGTCCTTAGATATTTTTTTTAGGTTTTCATTGTTGCTTATATCTTTTAAAATGTAGTTCTGAAAAATAAAAAAAAACAGTTAGAAGTAGACTTTAACATTAAGTATTATTATTATATACATTCCATCCATGACCTAATTGTTTATTTCACTCATTATGTTCCTAGATTTTTGTACTATCCTGTCGTACCGTTTTAAAATGGCGATCGCTCAATATTCAATAGCAATCGTGTTGTAAAAAAAGTATCTTTCTCTTCAAAAGTTATCTTCTTTAGGGATGTTTGCAATAATCAAGCTATTCTTTCTAAACAACTACTCTAAAGAGTTGTTTTGAGCTGCAAGCATACCATTTTCCTAGCGTTTTCAAACCATTTTCATTTCTTAAAACCATTTAAGTGGACTCTTAAAATGACTCTTAGAATCATGTTCTTGAAGTTCTTATTCAACCAATACTACACTGATCTTGTTTTCTTTTACCCAGCGGTAGATTTTTGAAGTTATACTTCTATACGCACGGTCGGCGTTGGAAATTTGCACGAGAGTGAATCTGTGAAACCATTACATATGTAAGATAATGAGTAAGACAGAGACAGAAGATATATTTCCTTTCTCGAGAATAAAAATGTTCCTTTTGTATATATATCTAATATTATACACTCACCGGCAAAATTAACGGAACACCTTAAAAATGGGACATGTTAGATGACTCGAATTTCCTAAACCTGTTGTCCGATTTTAGTAATTTTTTTTAGTATGTTATAGGTATATTATTTAAGAATATCAATGAAATAATATTGTTGCTAGACAGGTCAATGTCATTTTATACCGGTTGTAACAATCATACTGTGTTTTTTCCTTTAAGTTCGAAACACCCTGTGGAATATTCTAGCATATATAAAATATTGAAATTAAAGCTCAATTATAGTCTCAGGCTTTCTTAACATTTTCTTTTTTGATTCATTTGCTTGTGTAGGATAATAAAAAAATTAGGTACGTTAACAACTAGCCATGTTTTTCATCAATAAATGCTCATTTTCTTCTTAGTTTCACCAGCATATTTAAAGGAACAACCATAAAATCTGAGTATTTTCTCTCTAGTCTATATACTGTTTAGATAATATCATAATACGAATGTTGGTGAAGTATTTTGAATTTATATTACAATGGTAGTACAATATAAAACCTGTTTAAGAAGAAATAAAACACAAAGATGTCAGTCTCAAGAAAATACGGATTTTAAACGCATTAACTTTATTGTACAGTTTGAACTTAAATTGGTTTTTTATGCATTTTTTTGGCTTTAATAACGTGTGTTTCCCCTACGAGCCCTTACAACTGCAGTTGTTCGTCTTCTCATACTTCTGATACCGCTATCGATCAGTTGTTGGGCAGTCTCTCCAATTCCTCAATCAAAGCAATTGTGACTTCCTCTCTGTTTTGAATAGCAGGAACCCGTGCCCTAAGTTTTCTGCCTAGCATGTCCCACATATCCTCTATCGGGTTTAGGTCTGGGGAACAAGCTGGCCAATTCATCGTTGTTATACCAACTTGTAATAAGAAATATCTTACACAGTCTGCGACGTGTGGACTCGCATTATCCTGCATTAAAATAAAATTTTCGCCAACATATGGTGAAAAAGGTACCACATGGTCTTGGAGAATATCTCTGATATACTTATCTGCTGTTAATGCTCCATCATCAATCACCACTAACTCTGTTATTGCTAGCAAACATATACCGCCCCACACCATAATTGAACCTCCACCAAAAGGTACGGTCGTAGTAAAATTGAAAGGGGCATTTCATTCTCCTTGGCGTTGATACAATCTTTCTCTACCGTCGATGTAATTTACACAGAAACGGCTCTCGTCCGTAAAGAGAATTTGACTCCAGTGGTTATCATTCCAATTTTGATGTACTCGACCAAATTGTAGTCGTGCTAAACGATGGTGTCTCTGGAGTCTGGGAGCTTTTATTGGCACATATGACTTGAGACCGGCTTTTTTAAGTCTCTTTCTTACTATGCGCCCAATTAAATACAAGTTTGTACTTGTTATGAATAGACAGAATGACTGTAAAATGTAAAACACAATACAAATAAACAAATTAATTTGACATTTAAGACTTTCTTGTGACAAGGAGCTTTCAAAGCTATGTAGATATAGTCTATAAAATACAAATATAAAGAAATATTGCATTAATAACAGGTTCCTTTAAATTTGCCGGTGTGTGTATTAAATTGTTAACTTCTCATAGCCTACTTTAGGCTTGTTTATTAAACTAAGCAGAAAATGAGGATTTATTGATGAAAAACATGGCTAGTTGTTAACGTACCTAACTTTTTTAATATCAAACATAAGCAAATGAATCAAAAAGAAAATGTTAAGAAAGCCTGAGGCTATAATTAAGTTTTAATTTCAATATTTTATATATGCTAGAATATTCCACAGGGTGTTCCGAACTTTAAGGAAAAAACACAGTAGGAATATTACACCCGGTATAAAATGACATTGACCTGTCTAGCAACAATATTATTACATCGATATTATTAAATAATATACCTATAAAATACTAAAAAAAATCACTAAAATCGGACAACAGGTTTAGGAAATTCGAGACATCTAACATGTCCCAATTTTAAGGTGTTCCGTTAATTTTGCCGGTGAGTGTGAATATATATATATATATATATATATATATATATATATATATATATATATTAAAAAATACATTTAAAATTTTGAATAAAAACATTACAACAACAGGGTAGTTTTTCAAATACAAACACAACAAAAAGTCTAAAATTTACAACCTCAACATGTTTGTGACAGTGTTTTTTACAACTAGGACCAACTGAACATTTTCAATGTGCTGATGAAGGTGACAACATATCACCGAAAATTTCACATATAGAATAAAGTTCTACACCAAGCTGGCTTATACCATCTCTAGCTGATCCTTATATATATATATAATATATATATATATAATATATATATATATATATATAGAATTAATTTCATTTACTCACCTGTTTTTGTAAAAGTGCACCCTGTCTCACCATAGTTTGAAAAATGGCTTCCATAGTTGGCATTTGTACTCTATACGATTTTTTTGTGTATTCCTAAAATGTTAAATCATGTAATTAATATTATATAATTTTAAAATTGGCTAATGTTTTACATACAGTCCATCAGCTGGATCTTTGCATAAATATGACATTGTTGACGAATTACTTTTCATATTAAGTCTCTTTTGGGCCTTGTCGCATCCTGTTGATCTAGATTGGTGTCTAGATAGGTCTAGATAGGGTTGCCGATTCTAGATTACTCACACTTAACCTTGACCACTTCCTGTTCCAGAATCGGTGTTGTATCTCTACTTGAAACTGATTAAAAACATCTTGAGAAGATCCAAGTCTTGGAAGAAAATATAGGGACAGCAACTCAATCAGATGAGCTGTCGAAAATGGAGCAAATAGAAAAGTGATAACAAGCTAAAGAAAAAGAGGAAGAGCAAGACAAGAAGATCACAATCAAATCTGGCAGACTACATTGGAGACCATTTATCCAGAAACGAAGTACTTAGACGTCAAACAATGACAATTATGATGAAATATAACACGTATTAATTGTTTAAAGAAAGAATATGACCTTACGAATTCAGTTGCCTGAAAAACAATGCAGTATATTGAGAATTCTGTGCAAGCACTTCAGCAAGGTTATGATAATACGTCCTGAGAAGTAAAGTTTTTAATAAACTATCCCTTACAGGATAATACTCCGGAAAATAATACAACAGACCTTGATGGCCTACGCGCAAATGTGTAAAACTACCTCAATCTGAAGATCAGTAAACAAACTTATTTGGTCATTTAACTAGCACAGGTAAAAAACTCTCAAATGATTTTAATAGATTTTAATTATAGCAATAGAAAAAAAAATAAAGAAAGTATAATTTTTACCTGAAAATTGTCCCACTGTTCATCTAATGCTTTGCTGGCTTGCGATAATTGAGAATCCAAATAATAAATTATTTTTTTAATATCGGACTGTCGTTTTTCCGTTGCAGAATCGAGTGGTTGGCTCTTTAAAATCAATCCCATTGTTTCGTCTTTGGATAGATTGTATCTAGATAAAGCTTCTTCGTACCAAGCCCATGACAAAACTAGGTTTTGTTTTAACGAATGAACCTAAAATTATAGTTTATTATATATATATATATATATATATATATATATATATATATATATATATATATATATATATATATATATATAAATATATATATATATATATAAATATATATATATATATATATATATATATATATATTATATATATATATATATATATATATATAAGTTATGATTTTTGAGGATGCAGTCAGTTTATTTGGCCCACAAGACAAAGAAAACTCTTTGACTTACTGTCAAGCTTTCGAATTTTATTTAATTCTTTTTCAAGACATCTATAAAAAGAAATATAAATTAACTAGTTAAAATTGTTAATTGTCTTACTTACTAGTCGTGAGATTACAGTTGTTAATATTATACTCTACAAAACAAACCATTATAAATATATTAAATTTTTTTTATTAAAAATAACTATATTGTCACTATATATGTCATTGTCATGGTTTGATTAATGGACATATATGAATGAAAATACAGTTATTTTATGTGAAAAGCAAAACCAGCAACAATAGTTTTTATTATAATTTATTTAATTGTCTATAAAAAATATAAATTAATCCAGTCAGCAGTTTGGCTTAAGCACACATGAATTTTTAATGTCAGGATGTCAATAGAAAATGAGATTATGACGGTATTTATTGATATGTTAATATGTAACAATAAATGTTACTTAATTTGTCAATATCTGATCTTCTATTTACACATTTTTTATTTTTTTGTATATGTGTCATTTCTAAAAATAACCGTTTCTGTTCATGTTTCTGCCTCTCTAGAATTGAAGCCTGTGAAAAATTAAATGTGTGATTTAGATTGATGGAGTGTTCAGCTAATGCACAAGCTTGTGATTTCTTAGTTTTTACATCACTTTTATGAGAAATAATTCTGCTGTGTAATGTTCGAGAAGTTTCTCCTATATAAACTTTATCACAGTCTGAGCAAGGTATTTGATGCACTACTGAAGATCCTTTAATAACTGATGAAAGTTCTAGAGTAGTGTATCAAATACCTTGCTCAGCGTGTGATAAAGTTTATATAGGAGAACTTCTCGAACATTACACAGCAGAATTATTTCTCATAAAAGTGATGTAAAAACTAAGAAATCACAAGCTTGTGCATTAGCTGAACACTCCATCAATCTAAATCACACATTTAATTTTTCACAGGCTTCAATTCTAGAGAGGCAGAAACATGAACAGAAACGGTTATTTTTAGAAATGACACATATACAAAAAAATAAAAAATGTTAAATAGAAGATCAGATATTGACAAATTAAGTAACATTTATTGTTACATATTAACATATCAATAAATACCGTCAAGATCTCATTTTCTATTGACATCCTAACATTAAAAATTCATATGTGCTTAAGCCAAACTGCTGACTGGATTAATTTATATTTTTTATAGACAATTAAATAAATTATAATAAAAACTATTGTTACTGGTTTTGCTTTCCACATAAAATAACTGTATTTTCATTCATATATGTCCATTAATCAAACCATGACAATGACATATATTAGTGACAATATAGTTATTTTTAATAAAAAAATTTTAATATATTTATAATGGTTTGTTTTGTAGAGTACAATATTAAAAACTGTAATCTCACGACTAGTAAGTAAGACAATTAACAATTTTAACTAGTTAATTTATATTTCTTTTTATAGATGTCTTGAAAAAGAATTAAATAAAATTCGAAAGCTTGACAGTAAGTCAAGAGTTTCTTTGTCTTGTGGGCCAAATAAACTGACTGCATCCTCAAAAATCATAACTTATATTTAAATCAACAGTCAAGAATACCACCATCTTTATATAAATATATTATATATATATTATATATATATATATATATATATATATTTGAACCTATTCTCTATCATTCCATTGTTGGATATAGGTCTCCCCCAGTTCTCTCCATCTTTCCCTATCTTGAGCTGTTCTCTGCCATGTGAGACCTCCTTGTTTCCTGATGTCATCTTTCCACCTCATCTGTGGTCTACCTCTTGATCTCTTTGCATTGTATGGACACCACTTTCCGATGGCATTGTTCCATCGTCTGTCTTGGAGACGTTCATTGTGTCCAGCCCATTTCCATTTCAGTTTTGCTGCTTGTTCTATCGCGTCTACTGTCTTTGTTCTGGTCCTGATCCACTGGTTACGTTTTCTATCTTTAACTGATATACCCAACATTTGTCTCTCCATCGCTCTTTGTGCCTTCCTTATCCTATTCAAATTGGCCTGTGTAAATGTCCATGTCTGTGCTCTGTAGGTGAGCACCTGTATTATACAGGAGTTATATACCTTGCTTCGTAAGTATAGAGGGATTGTTTGATTTTTTAGAACGTATGAAAGTTTGCCGAACGCTGCCCATCCCATTCTTACTCGTGTCGATATTTCGGCTGTTTGATTTTCTCTGTTAGCTCTGATTGCTTGTCATAGATAGATATACTCATTTACCTGTTCTATTTTTTCTGTTTGTATTTTTATTGCCTCTTGGTCTTCCGTGTTTGTCATTACTTTTGTTTTGTTGAAGTTAATTTTTAGGCCTTTTTGCAGTGATTTTTCATAAAGTTCATTCAGCATTAATTCCAGTTCTTGTCGTTCCGAGGAGATCAGGAGTATATCATCCGCATATCTAAGGTGATTTAGGTATTTTCCGTTAATACATATTCCTCTGTTTTCCCAATCTGTTGATTTTATTATGTCTTCGAGGGTCAAGGTAAACAGTTTAGGTGAAATTATATCGCCTTGTCGGACTCCTCGTTTAACTTTTATATTATCCGTTATTAATTTGTCGTCCAGAATTACGGATCATGGTTGCGTTTTGGTAAATATCATGTATTAATTGTCGGTATCTTGAATCTATTCTACTATTGACCAGAGCTTCTTCAACCGCCCAGTGTTCAATGCTGTCGAAAGCCTTTTCATAATCTACGAATGCTAAGTACAGCGGAAGGTTGTATTCATTGGTTTTCTCAATTAAGATTTTAAGCGCATGTAGATGGTCGATTGTGCTGTATCCTTTCCTGAATCCGGCCTGTTCCACTGGTTGGTAGTTATCAAGTTTATAAGTTAGTCGGTTGTTTATTATTCTTGTGAAGGTTTTATATAGTTGTGACAAAAGGGAAATAGGACGGTAGTTGTTTAGGTCTGTTCGGTCTCCTTTCTTATGTATTAAGATTGTGTTGGCATTTCTCCATTGTTTAGGTATTTTACCTTCAAACAAACATTTGTTGAACAGTATTTTTAGCATTTTTTTTATCGTGTCTCCTCCTTTTAGCAGTTCCGTCAGTATTTTGTCCTCACCGGCCGCTTTATTTCTTTTCATGTCGTTTATGGATTTTTCGATTTCATCTTCAGTTATTTCTGGTAATACCTCTGAGCCAACATTTTGTATTTTCCTCAAGAGATTCTGTTTAGATGATAGTGGTGGATCATTTTTAGAACTGTATAGGTCTGTGTAATATCTTTATGTGATTTTTACTATTTCTCCTAGATCTCTTTCTTCATTGTTCTCAGCTTTAAGCATGATTAGTTTTCTTTTTCCTATATTTGTCTTCATTGTTTTTAAACTGTTGTTCTTCTCTATGATTTTCTTAATGCGATCTTCTTGGTATTTCTTTAAATCTACCTTTATCTGTTTTCTTATAGTGTTAAACTTTATTTCGGTCAAACTGTGTAAATAATTAAATTAATGTTTATATCACTGAATAGAGAATTACGAGTAAGTACCTAACCTTTTGAAAGAGAGTACAATTCTCATTAAAAAAACATAATTCAAATATAAAAATCGACTTATATCGGGATTTGTCCCCAAATTCTCCTCTTCCCGAAAAAATTAATTGATTCCATAATTTTGCTCCTCACTATATATAAAAATTTGTTTAATAGTTATGTTTATTGTAAATATATAATAATATGTATTATATACACTTACCTCTGCACTTTCTCCTAAACTAACATCTACAATTTCCTTAACAAATTCTTGTAAATCCTGCAACTCTTTTATCATCATCATTTTTTCGCTTTCACTTCCGATATTAACATTGATCTTTCTTCCTTGATGTAACAAAGCCTTTAATTCCGATTCCAAGGCTAAACATTCATCTTTTACCATTTTGGTTAAGAGAGCTTGAGTCTCACCTTTGACTTGTTCGTCTATAGCTAATTTAGGATCTACATCAGTCTTTTGAATTTGTGGCGTGGTAGTTTTCTGAACATCATGCGCAACATTCTTTGTAGTCTTCGGAGTAACGATAACCCTTGGAGCTTCCGCCGTGGGAAATTTTATAGGTTCTGGAGCCACGAGTTCTGGTATTGTAGCAGATCTAGGATCTGTTAAAACTGGGTGTGCACTAATTGGTTGACCTTCTTGCTTCGTAGCGATCAGTATTGGTCTGGGATCTGCTGGAGCGGGAATCATGCTGGGAGCTTTTAAAGCAGAGTAAATTGCAGAGTATTTCTCGCTGGTTTCAACATTCTGTAACAAAAATTAAAGTCGTAAACACGTCAATTTTATAATCACTCAAATGAATTATAAACATTTTGTTTTGTGTCAGTTACGTCAAAAGAGACTTCTTCACTTAATAAGTTATATCAATTCTCAAATCACGTCATATTTTTTGTTGACCTATTTTGAATTTGGTTGGTAATCTAGGACTAATGTGTTTAGGTTTGACTAGCGGACCAACTCGACATCGAGTTTTTTAAATGAAATTTTTATTTTGCGAGAAAAATTAAGAGATCAATACAAAGAATATAAGTAAGAATATACATAACATTCATCAATAATAATGCAAGTAAAAAGTGTATTAAATATCACGAAATATTTCGTCGAAAACAATTTTTAGTTCATCAAATGTCGACATGGATATCATTTAGCAGTTAATTTTGCATGCTGATCACGAATCCGGTGTCAGATTTGCTCTATCTTGACGTTTTATGCGCGTTTCGGGTCACTTCCGGTGTCGGATCGCAACTGGAAGTACATATTTAGATTCGTCTCGACGAGACCTTTCGATCCATATATACATTGCGGGGTCTTAAAACTTAAAGTAAATTTTAACTTCCGGTCATCTCAAAACCGGAAGTGAATTTTTGTACCAAAAGTATATCTTGACAATCTCATACGTATACTAATAATATTCCGAAAAAATATTTTAATTATCTAGTATGGTTTTTGAGTAAAGTGGTGGACAAGAAAAGGGCTTAGCTTATAAGATTAGTAGGCCACTCATAATTCAAATTTCATTGGATCATAGTAATAACATCACATTATGTGAATTTTTCAAATAGATATAGAACTTGGCAAAAATAAGTGAAGCCGATGTTTTAGCTTAGTGCGCGTGTTGCCTGCTAGGTGAAACATATAAGGGGGCAAAAACATTTAAACAATGTTTGGAATTTCACTGGTTTCCCGTAATATTTACATTTAATTTTGTGAGAGTGGTTTTAGAGTTTAAAGTAAGATAATCTCCTGGCGGAAAAATAATCATTTTTTTACCTATGCGAGTCTATTTTTATATCATAATTAGACAAGACATTGCTTTTGAAAATATCTGACAGTCGGATCGTCCAAAATTATAACGTATGGAACGTCCAATATTAAAATTTGTACGTTCGAAGCGTAAATTTGTACTTTAAGCATGCATAGCCCTTTAGATAGTCCACTACGTCTATCTACTTTTTACCTTTTTTAAAAATCTAGTTACCCTATCAACATCAACATTGATACTTGGACATTCAAACTTAATTAAACTTTCTGTCAAGTGATTAATAGTATTATTGTAGTGGAAGTATTCAAAAAGTCTTTGTATATATTGTTACGAACATGCATTCTACGTAGCCCAGATAACAGTTGCAGCCCGGGATGATGATGATCTGTCCTTCTAGAAGCGACTGGAACTGTCAACCGCTGGAGAGTTCGAACCGACAAGCATACGAATTAAATGTGGACTACGCCAGAATATTCTAGTACATACTAACTTTTATATAAGCATACATCTATGAGTTAAGTTTAGTTGTTAAGATACTACCGTACTGTAAACTTATAAATAAATACATTTATATAAATTCAAACCGCTCGTTTTATTTAATCTCGCTGCAGTGGTGTCCGGTGTGAGACTTCAAAATAAATTCAGCAGTGATTGCTAAATAAAAAAAAAAGACATTTAAACTTTTGAAAAGTATTGTTCGTCGGGAACATCAACGTAGTTCGGTGAGTAGTATAGTACGAAAGAACATCTAAAAAAAAGTACGTGTGTGCCTTACCAAACATGCTGCTAGTAAAACTTTCAGTAAAACAGTTGTGTGAGCAACTAGAAGAACGCGATGAAGACTGCAGCGGGTCCAAGAAGATACTCCAAGAACGACTGAAGACTGTTCTCAACAAGAATGGAGACGACACAGAGACATTCCAGTTTCAATCAGCAGAAGAAGCAATTTTAACGAAAATAAAAAATGTGTAGCAAATGATTAAAGAAACTTCTAAAAAAAATGATAATAAATTTGAAAACGTCTCGCAAATGATTGAAGAATCTTCTAGAAATAATGATGATAATGTTTCCAAAAGATTCGATGAAACGTCTCAAATTATTAAAGAAGCAGCTAGACAAAATTACGACAAATTCGAAAATGTTGCTAGAAGATAAGATTCGACGAGAACTCTCAAATAATTAAAGAAGTATGTAATCAAAACAATGAAACATTTGAAGAAGTTTCTAAAACTTTCGATAAGATACAGAAAAATGTAAACGATGTAGAAGAGAAGATCAAAAGATTAGAGATTGGACAGAACAAGAAAGGGGTGTTTCCTTGACTGCTACTTTACGAGGTGATGCTGCAGATATCTCAAGATCGATTCCTAAGGGTCAAGAAAAATGTTACCAGACCTTGTTCACTCCACTATACAAACGTTACGGAGATGTCCATCTACAACAAGTCTACAAAGTACAAATAAAGAAATAGAATTCAACGAGCAAGTGAGAATTTGAAGCAGATGTTGCTCGTATAGCGCGGTTGGCTTATCCAGAGGTACCAGACAATATTTTGGAAGAAATTGCGGTAGATACCTTCGTCAATGGACTGAGAGACAGTGAAATACAGAAAGCTTTACGACTAGCAAAACCAAAAGTTTTAGATGAAGCGCTCGCCATTGCCTTGGAGCACGAAACAGCTAGTCAAGCTTCACGGAGCTATCGAGTACGAATCTCTGAAGAGAGTGACGATCGAAACGATAAAAATTCTGGAGGAAATAAATAAATAAATGTAAACTTATAAATAAATATATTTATATAAATTCGAACCGCTCGTTTTATTTAATCTCGCTACAATATCAACATGAAGCTTACTGAACCGCAAAGAATTGAAATTCTAATAATAATTGGTTTGTGAAGTGAAGTTAGTATGTTATTTAATAATAAATACCCCAACCGAGAACAAATTTCAAAATTCACTATAACCAAAAATTGAGAAGAAATTTAGAGAAACGGGTCATGTCAAAGACCTCTCTAAGGGTAGAAGAAAACCAATATCTAAAAACAAACAACTAGAATTCTGAATGTTAGCCTATCGAGATAATCCCCATACCAGTTCATGGCAAGTATCATTAGATAATGACATGGACCATTCAACAATCCTTAGAAAGCTGAAGAAGGAAAAGTGGCATCCCTACAAAGTAAGTTTAATACAAGAACGCATGGAAGACGATTTTGATAGACGAACTGGATTTTGTGAAATTATAATGAAACACACTAACATAGATCCACACTGACAGTTATTGTTTGGGCGGAAATAATAGATAATAGGATTATTGGACCATACTTTTTCGAAGAAACCTTAACAGGTCCATCGATATTTAGAATTACTTCAAAAGCTCCTTTTTCCCCGAATTGAACCCGTTGCTTCCAAACAGAAATGATTTATGGATGCAGCAAGATGGTGCGCTTCCACATTATGCTGTCTTGGTGCGCAACTACTGGAACAACGTCTTTCCAAATCGGTAGATAGGTCGAAGAGGAACAATAGAATGGCCGCCTAGGTCACCTGATTTGACTCCTATTGATTTCTTTTTATGGAGATACTTGAAAAGTAAAGTGTACCAAAAAAAAACCACAAAATATCAATAAACTCAAAGAAAGGATACATATTACGGTTGCGTTAAGGTTAAGTATTATTTAATATTTTACTTACTTGCGGTTGTGATTTAACAGGTGTCAACGTAATAGCACCGCCAAAAATCGAAGGCGCGCTTATTTGTGGTTGCTGTTTTATTACAGGAGTTATGCTAACTTGTGGTCCAACGGATTTATCGAATAATGATGGACCTGCAGATGCCGATCCTTGCGGTAGCCCAAAAGGTGGAGTCGGCTGAGTTACTATGGGCTTGATTATATCAAAACTGGGTTGGGAAGTTTGCGGTATAACTTTGGCAGGTGCGGCTGGAATTAAAGGTTGAGCAACTGCAACTGGCTGTCCAACGTTTCCAAACGAGAAGGGTTGTGATTTTGGAGGTGTACCTAAAAATATTTGTTCATATAAATGACGATATCTATTAAGCTCAATAATAAATGAATATACAGTACATTTGGAAAAGTTCGAACGTAGTTATGAGGTTCGAATCGTTTTATAATGCTCCTTGTCCGCTTCTTGTCGATCGACGGTGATAAATATAATAGAAGGTTGAAGTTATGCAGAAAAATGTTGATTTTATTGACAGCTACTAGTAATTACACAATATGATGTTGGTTAGGTAACTATGTATAATAGACTGCGCTCACATGAGCTCAAATTCCCAATTTATAATCTCTCACAAATAATTCATACCTAAGCACAGAGGTTATTGCTTCTATCATACCATACCAACAAACTTTGAACTATTTGCTTACACTACAATTTAATCTAGGCCGTAATTGCGACACTTATGAAGTTCAATTAGAAAATATATTATTCGGCAATTTATTTAGTTGTAGGTAAATGAAGTAAATATTAAAATATTATACGATATGATTTTACACAATGGCACTACAAGAAGAAGAAGAAGGACAGAATTAGCCATATCCCACATGGAAAGCCAATCAGAGCCAATCTTGTAATAGACAATACAACGATTGAGCATGTGCCCTGTTATAAATATCTAGGTGCTTGGATCACAGACGATACTGATCAAACAAAAGAGATTAGATGTAGAATAGAAATCGCTAGATCAGTCTTTAATAGAATGCGCAAACTCTTTTGCAATCGTGATATCAATATAAAGTTACGAATAAGAATGCTGCGGTGTTATGTCTTTTCTACCCTGTTATATGGAGTTGAGGCTTGGACACTAAAACAGTTGACCATAAAAAACATCGAAGCTTTCGAGATGTGGTGCTATAGGCGCATTCTCAGAATATCATGGATGGACCGCGTCACTAACACACAAGTACTCCAAACTTTAGACAAAAGATGCGAAATTCTAAATGAGATAAAAACTAGAAAGATGGAATACTTGGGGCACATTGTGAGAGGTGAAAAATACGAACTTTTAAGAAACATCATGCAGGGCAAAATTAAGGGCAAAAGAAGTGTGGGAAGAAGGCAAATATCGTGGCTTTGTAATCTACGTGAATGGTTCGGGTGTAGTTCGATTGAACTTTTCAGGCGCGCTGCTAACAAAGTCGCAGTGGCCATGATGATTTCCAATCTTCGCTAGGAGTAGCACGAGAAGAAGAAGAAGACATGGAAAGCGCTAAACAAACTAAGAACTGGCGTTTCAAGTTGTGCTAGTAACCTGAAGAAATGGGAATACCAGGAAGACGATATCTGCGACTGTCGCGTGGTTCAAAATAGTCACCATCTACTATTGTGCACAGAAATGAGAGAGACCTTCACAGAAGAAGACCTATTTTTAGCGAATGACAGGGCCATCTATGTGGTCAACCATTGAAAACACAAAATTAAAAGCTGTTGGTGTTCCGCACACGGAAAGTAAGTAAGTATATGGTCAATTCTCAGCTCTTAATGTTAATAAGTCACGGAAATGTGATTTTAAGAAAAAATTGGTCATAGAAGCTTCTTAATTTTAACGCTTGTTTTTACCACTTTTTCCGTGAGTTTACTTACAAGCGTGAAAAAAATATCAAAGTTATTATACCCAATTTTTAGCTTTTTTAATAACAATTTAATGAAATGTTGAAATTTTTTAATATATCTTAAAATTGAGGACTTAAAGAGTCTATTTCGATCTGTTAAATACCTCTACAGTCACGTTTTAAGCAAGTACATTTGTTTAGATATTCGTAATTATAATTCGTAAGAAGTTATATTACATGTCATTGGGCAAAAAACAAACATTTATAAATTTCTGCAAAAATAAGAGTTTCTTGCTCAACTATATTGATGAATTGTTTACGTATTTTAATTTAAAAACTCGCATATTAGAACTTTTTAAGACCTTTTCTTTAAACCATTTTCTCTAAAATGTTTTATAGGCAATAAATGAGTTTTTCACTTTTTAAGATTGCTTAAAAAATAAAGCTAAATCAGCTTTACGTCTTCAAGGAGTTGACTTCAGCTATTCCTCATATAACTTTTATAATCATCAAAAAACCGGTATAAGATTGTTTTAGCTTTTTTCCTTTAACTACTGGTCCATACATACCACTTAAATTTAGTGGCTTATCACCACTTCTTCTCTGTTTTTTCATGGTAAATGCGTTTAAAATACTTAAAAATAAATAAAATAAACAACACAATTATACCGTCGCACGATTAAAAACATTGAAAACAATAAACACACAATAACACATAATAAACTTTGTAAAACAAGTTAAAATTTACTTCTAAAAAGTGTATTGAATGGGTCTAAAATCATTTATTAACGTAAATATTATAAAAAGCATCTACAATCTACAATATACAGTGGCAGTGGCGTACCAATAAATGAATTAATGTACCAAAACTAAAGATATTTAAAAAATTCTTTCCTTACAGTGTATGAAGATAACTTATCGAGGAGCAGTCAGATCGGTCATATTTTTTATAAACGAAGGCCATAGTCCGAAAATGTAGTTTTTTAAACTTTTTTAAGTGCAAATCCATCAATAATTCTTCTTCTTCGTTTTATGTAGACATGACCGTATATTTTTCAATGTGCCTCCAAACGCATTGAAAAGGTGCATGTTTCGCGCCGACTGGAACATGCTTTTTCCGCTGCTATAGGAACTAAATAAACAACGCACTTTCTACCTTCGGATATTCGGGTGGTTTGATGGTTTTCCTCTTCCCTGGACTGCTTTTCGTTTCGTTGACGAACATTTCGATCTTTTATTTGTTCTTCTTAATGTCCGTAATGGTATATATAATCCAGTAATACTGAATTGTTTTAAAATCAAACTGTAGCTAGTTCCTTGCTGTATCCACTTCAGAATTTTGGTCTTTTATTCGATAGTCAAAATCACTGGTTTATGTGGACCCATCGTGATACGAAAGTACTAACAGAACTAAATAACAGCTTATTTCAAATAGACTGGCGAGCCCTTCCACGAAATAGTTAATCGCGCAGACAATAGAATACCTATGATCAGACTCATGCAGCGGCGTTGCAATATTAAACAAATTAATTTATTTGAAATCGCACTAATTACAAAACTATTACTCAATTAAATAATAAATAGAGTTTGATTGTACACAAATTGTTTTATAGGTTAGATACCAAACGTTTTGTTTGTATATATATATATATTATATATATATATATATATATATATATATATATATATATATATATATATTATATATATATATATATATATATATATATACAGGGTGGTGAATCGGCAAACGGTCCATAGGAAACTCAATGGTAAATTCTAAATTGTTGAATTCCTGCTTCCCTAATTATTTTACACCAAAAGTCATGGGAAACTATTTGTAGAGGACTCAAATATGTACCGAAAACAACTGTTAAAATTATTCTACGACTTAAACGTATTCCAAAATTTTGCTAAAATATAATACATTTTTCTGTGAAAAAATGTGTATTACGTGTTGCGTTTTGTCATATTATTGTTTCTGATATTTGACAATATTTAAATCAATTATATTATATTTATCTATGATTTAAATGGCCAAAATTTTATGATTTAATGTTTAAAAAAAATTAAGTTGATTAAAAAATGTACTCAGTTGAAGAGAAAAAAGCAATAATAAAAATGTTTTCTTCATGTTTTATTATAATATTTGTTATAGTTTTATGTTTAGAAATAATCATATATTATTATTAGGAATAAAGATCACAGTAACAGTATATTGGAATTCATTGAATAGTTGTATAACTTAACTTAACATGGAATTAAATTTTAGTGAATTAGAATACCTATCTTACGTTAAATAAAGATCCGGTAGTGGCAGGAAAAGGTTCGCGCCGTTATGCGATTTTTCGTCAACTGAGTACATTTCATTATATTGATCGATTTGTAAACAATATTATTTATTGTTCACAAAGTAATAATGTTCAGTAGTAGTAGTATTTAGTAAAATTCATTGTTTATAATTTAATCATAAAATAAAAAGATTGACAATTCAAATTGTCAAACATCTGACATTAATAATGATAAAACAAACACATCCTAATATATATTCTTGCATTACGTGTGGCCTAACTTTTAGGGGTGGTCTGAAAAATGTATCACATTTTTTTTAAATTTTGAAGTACAGTTGATTTGTAGAACGGTTTTAACATGTGTTTTTAATTCAGATTTTAGTCCTCTACAAATAGTTTTTTATGACTTTTGATCTAAAATAATTAGGGAAGCAGCAATTCAACAATTTAAAATTTCTCATTGAGTTTCCTATGGTCCGTTTGACGATTCACCACCCGGTATATATATATATATATATATATATATATATATATTATATATATATATATATATACATCCTACTATCATTTTGGCATCGATACATTATGTTTTTACCATCAATTTAGCATCGTCTTGCAAAGTAGCATCTGTATATCGACGCTACTTTACAAGACCTTAATAACTTTTTTCCTGTACTTGTTACAAGAATTTTAACCATCTCAATGATTAGAGCTTTGATACCGTGTTGGTATTTTAAAATGTCCGCTTTCTCTTTTTATCCCTTACTGAGTTATATAAGTTTATTCCAGGAAATATTTGAGTCTAAAATGATGGTACAGTGAAAATATTATATATATTTAGTTCAGTGTTTTACCGTTTACTCGCTGCCATTATATACATGAAAATGTATATCGCACTTTCATTATCAATCATTTTAGCATCAGAAATTTGGCATCGCTGTTGAATATAATATTACCCACAACGAAATAGTAAATTTAAGAATTATATATTTTTTTTCATCTACAAATCATTCTAGCATCTGGTGTGATTAAAAGTAACGGGTTATAATATATTGCATATTTTTGCTCCAATTGGTCCAGTCGTGATGTACAGCACCTCAAATGATAGGATTTAACCAATAAAATACAATAAGACAGAAAAGCAGCATGTCAAAA